GTTTGAAAACTCGCTTTTTTTTGTTGTATCAAGCAATTCAAGGCTATTGAATTTCATATGACCTTGTTTTTTTTTGTTATAAAAGAATTTTTTTTTTTAAATTGCTGAAAAAAAAAATATATCGAGATAAAGTAATAAAAAAAAAAAAAATTCTAAAGTCTTTGGAATTAGCTTGAAATCTTTTCAACCTATTTCGAAGAAAAAATTATAATTCCAACTTGTTTCACTTAAAAGTTGGATTGAAAAATTTTAATATTGCACATCTTAGGATAAATCTTATGGAAACAATCTTTAAAAATATCAAAGGCATTCTCCTTAATTAATAATTTGATTACATTACCTGAAATTTTTTTATATTAAGATGATAATTATAATACAATATACTATAAGATTCACTATCGATTTTTAATGACTCATTTAGAAGAATCTCAATTTAATTTTGATTCATAAAAAATATTTCTGAATTAAAATTAAAATTTTATACTATATAAATGTTATTTACTTAGAATATATTCTACAAATACAATTGCGTTATTTATGATAAACATTAAGTAAATTTGAATAAATTTAAAAAACATAACTTAAAAATATAAATTGCTTTTATATTAATTATTATAACAAAATTTTTCATTATTTATATTTATATTACACTCATAAAATCAGAGATTTATGTTATCAATAAGATTAATATCTTAGACCTTTAAGAATGATTTAATTAGATTTAATAATTTTTTTATTCTAATTTAATAATCGGTTTCTATCATATTTCTTCTTTATTAATACAAAGATAATATACTCTTATTATTTATTGTTCGTTATTAAAATTTAAATGTTTGCAAATAAAAATTGTTTTGAAGTTTATGAAACAATTCAAGAACTTAGAAAAGTTTTCTCTTAATTTAAAGAGTGCATTATAACTTAGCTTGGAAAACTGGAAAGTTAAATTGAAACAATTATTTTTGAACTATCTCAAAATAATGAGATTGATCAAATTGATGCTAATATAATTGAAAATGAGAACTCTTAATTAAATTATGATGAAATGCAATAATTAATTTAAGTTTGGAATAATGCATGTCCTAAATTCAATGATCCATTAGTAATAAGAATTTAAAAGACATTTAAACTATGGGAAAAATAAATTTAAGAACTTTTATATATTGATATTGAAAATATTCCAAGATATTCCAGTTCATAATATGTATTTGATACTAATGCGAAGTTTCAAAGTATTAAAATTTATGAAGAAATTATTATTGAATAAACTCAAACTTAAACTCATTATTGTTTTGCTCTTAGCAAATAAAGTTTGAATTAAATAGAAACTAGTTCTATATAATTTAAATTCCCAAAATTTATAGGAGACATTGGAGTTGGAATCTGTGATAAAAAAATCTTGAAATCAAAGGATTTTAGACCTTTATTAAGTTAAGTGAATCATGGAGCTTTTGTTTGCTTTTAAGATTCATGTAAAATAAGAAATAATAATAGATACAATAAATACAGAATAAGAAGAATTGAATTGGAAGCCTAAAGGTTTTAGATTCTTGGATTATGATATTATAGAAGTTACTTATGAACCCTCTCTTAAAAGAATCAGCTGGAAAAAAGTTTAAGTTATTATTTAATATAAAATTAGAAACCTATTGAAGGATTTTCAATGATCTTATAAAATGATAACAGAGAATTACATTTTTGCTGTATTGTTAAAACACAAGGAGCAAAGGTAGAAATAGTAAGAGAATGAACATTCTTAGTTATTTTTCTAAAATTAAATACATACATCAAACAATCTTGTCATCAGATATCTTATTTCACTTAAAATAATTATTAAATATACTTTGATCCTAAAGGTTCTAATTATAAATTCTCCTATTCTCTGAAATTTAAGGATTATTCCTAACCAATATCTAATATTTTCTTAATAGTAAAAACCAATTTAAGCCTTCTGAATGTCCTTTAAAAATTTATTTGAAAGCAGGATATGAGTAATAGGAATAAATTAGAAGTTTATTAATGTTTTATTATTATTGTTATTAGAATTCGTTATTTTCAGTATGAGTGTCTTGATGCTAAATTTGTTTAACTTTAAATTCTTAAGAAAATAGTTTTCACTTTTTATAAGGTAAATTTTTATCGTAAATTAATTAGTGTAATTTAAATTTTTTATATAGTTAACAATTATTTTATTTTTTATTATTTAATATTGAAAATAAGATTAATAAATTATTTAAGATTCATAAAAATGATCTTAAAAAATATTATTCATTATTATATATACTATTATAATAGTTCATGCATCTTATCCTTAGTTTTTTATTCATTACCAAATCCTTCTGAATGTACAATTTAGAATAATTTATTTTCTCCCTCTTTTTTTAATAGAAATACCCTTAATTTATACCAGAGTCCCTAAGTGATTAAAAAGCCAACATAACCATTATTTGTTTTTTCAATGCTACAATGACATAAGCTGGTTAGTAAATACTAACTCTATTTCATACGGGTAAGAAGTTCCTCTTTAAGTGATTGGTCCATAATATTAATAATTTATTTTTTGTTTTACATATTTCAATACCTATTTTTATTGTGATAGAATTTCAGATCATTAATAATAGTATCAATGATACCTAAAAGATATTATCAAGGAATCAAGAAAAAATAATCTTAAATCAAGGCAATGATTTGATATATTTAATAATCAACTATTTCAATTTTGTTGTATATCCTTTTTAATTTATTCTATTTTAGCCAAACCTTACTCCAATTCATCAAATGTGAATATTTCTGGTTCAGTAATACTCACTTTTTTAGGGATTACAAAACAATAATAAACTCTTAGTTTAAACCATAAACCCTCAGTAATCATAAAACCGACATAGCCAAAGTCCGTTTTTATTATATTAGAATAAACTAAACTGGTGAAAAAGTATTTATCCCTATCCATTTGTGTTTATAGCTAGCTTTGAGCAGACATTAACTTAAATTTGAATATTTATTTTTATTTATTTCTCATTTTGAGTTTAAACAATCATCTTATTCTGATAGAATTACAAATCTAATTTTTTTCTAATTTCTCTACTCCTTTTCAAATTTGTATTTTAATCAGTTTATTGGAGATAAATCAACTTGTATTTCATTAAACATAAGGTTCCCCGATGATGATTGCATAATTTCTTGATCATAATTTTATTATTAATTTAAAGTACTTTCTTTAAAATATAAATTTAGTTATTTGCCTATAAAATTGTGATATCTCCTATATTTTTTTAATAATTAAAACAAATTGATATACTAATTGCTCGAATAAAAATCTTGAAATATCAATATTAGCCAACCATAAATCAATAACTTCCTTTTATCTATTGTTTTTAAGCCTGCTTTGAATATCAATTATGGAACTGCATTCTTTAGAATAGGAAATGAGTAATTTTATTATAAGAATTCGTCGATTAGATTTATTTATTAAGAATTTATTGAATAAAATATATTGAAATTATTTATTTTTTGAGAACTGTAGTTAAAAATATAGGACAAAAAATGATCAGAGGAAAAATTTGAAAAGAAAATAGTAATCCTCTTAACATATTCGATTCAAGTTATCATATTGCAGCAACCTTATTAATGAGGATAATCATGTTCCTAAACAAGTATAAATAATTATAATATTGAAAAAATAGGAATTAGCAAAAATTAGCCTCGTTTTTTTAAAAAAAAAACTTATCAGAAATTATGATATTTAACTTATTATAAATGATTATTTTTTATCTTATCTATTTTATTTCAATTACTTTAATTCTTAATTACCATTTTAGCAAGTTTTCATTAACTTTAAGCCTTCTAGATATTGTTGATATTATAATCGTCCTTCAATATTAGAATTAAAAATTGAATTATAGAGACAAGATTTTGGTGTGTATCATCTATAAAATTCCAACCTATTTAATATTATTTTCTTCATATACATTTAGTCTTTCAAAAACTCCTTTGTTATCATAACTATTCAACCATCTTTATTTGATGTCTCCTTATGTGCTCTATAATTTATAACTGCAAATATTTGATCTCATTTGTGATTTCGACTTCATTTTCCATGAATCTCTTTGATTGACATTTTTTTATGATTAAATAAAAATATATATTTATTATGAATATTTGTAAGGTATTATTTGTCAAATTAATTGTATCAACAAATAGTGCAAACATCAAATGTTTTTTCATCAAAATATTCAAAATATATTGATTTCATTTATTTTAACAATAGATTTGTAAACCTGGATAATAAAAATAATAAATATAAATCAATTATAATTTATCAAAAATTTTCATTACAGATTATATCAATAAAGGTTTAAATTTTTATTAAAAAGTAAAATAAAGAATGGCAGAAATAAGTTCCATTAAAATTTTAAGTAGCTGAAATAAATTATTTAGTATTTGAAAGACAGTTACTTGATTGTTGTAATTCTGATAAGCAATTTTGATCATTTTTATTGAATCATTATTGGCTTATTATTTTACAGTTTTAGCGATTGCATCATCATCATCATTAAGTTTAATTATACATAATACTTCAGATAAATTTTGAGATTTTCTTCATATCAGAAGGACTAGATAGATTATCAATACTTACGATTGAATCAAAAATTTGACTAATTAGAGATACCAGCATATTCCTCTAAGAAAACCTTCTAATTAAGAGAATATAAAAAATGTTTTATTAATTTAAATATTCCATATTGAATTAATCATCTTATATTTTTCTGTATTCTTATTGACTTAATTTATAAATATATCCATTTGTTTGAAATAAATGTAGTATCGTATCTCATTCTGAATCCACTAATATACTACTTCTGCAATTAGATTATTGAAAATCAGTATTTGGATCATAAATTGGTCTTTGATAATTCAAAAAAACGCTACAAGCAACAAAAGTTATTTTCTCTGTAAACTCTTTGTCTATTAGGGCTTACAAAAACTTTAAATAAATCTTCAGGTTGATTGATTTGTCTTTTGATCTAATTACTATTCAATACCTCTTATTTTATATATAATATTCAGTTTTTTTTCTTCTTTTGACTATTTGCGTTATACAACTTTATTTTAATTAATTTAATTAATTATTTCTGTGATTTCATGGTTTGATTGCACTTCTCTCTATCCATATTATAAAGATTTTACCAATAATAATTTTTATTTTGAATCATCTATTTATTCTCTACATAAATTTTAGAAATTTAGGATTTTGTATTTCTTGTGCAAATAATTATTTCACTTGTTTAATATTCTTCACTATTCTAATAATTATATCAAAAACAGACACTAGTCTATGGATTTATTTTTTTGAAAAATCCTATTAAGTTATATTTATTAAGTTATTTTTTCAAGTTTATAATCAAAAAATTTGTTCATTTTTTTAATATTAATTTTATTAGGGTTAGTAAATGTAGATTAGATGTACTTAAGCTGATCATCAAAATCAGTAAATAATAGGGGTTTGTATTGAGAGCAACTGCCAACATTAGAGGCCTTATCGTCATGATTGTTTACCTAATCATGTTTAACATATTAACAAGTCAATATCTTTGAACCGCTTAAATGAATGGATAAAACGACCAATTGTCATAATTACCGATATATAAAAGAATGCTTAAGAGTGTAAATCAGTCCTTGATAGTCTTATAAATAGATTTACTCCTTACTTAAACATTAACATAGAATAATTAGGAATCTCAGAGATTGACAATATTATTAAGGGTTTATGTAAAATTGAAGTTTGTGAATAGTAATTCTTTAACTAACTCAAATAATCAATTTAATAAGTTTCATAAATTGTAGATGAAATATTAAAAAACACCAAGAGTTAAACAGATTAGAAGTAAAAATTTAATAAAGAAGCTCAATAAACTTAAATTATGAAACCATTAATTTAAGAATAAAACGACCAGGTAAACATCTTAAAACCAAATCTAAAGCCATTTACCTTTGAACTCATTAAATAAAATACAAGTAAGTAAAATTAATGGTATTATGCAATTACTTTTAATAAAGATTGCTCAATTGTGGCAGCTGGATGTGAAGAAAATATTAAAGTATATCAACATAAAGAAGGGAAACTGAATCAAATATAAGTATTAAGTGAGCATACAAAAGGTGTAATTACTTTGAATTTTATGAGGAATACAAATGATTTTATTTCTGGGAGTGATGATTCATTGATTATAATATGGTAGGCGAATGGAAATAATGAATGGAATTGCTAATAAAAATTGAATGGGCATTCAAATTATATATATTGTTTATAAGTGAGCAATAATGATGATCTAATCATATCTGGAAGTGGTGATAAAACTATTAAATTTTGGATTAAATAGAGTTAATGGTTGTGTTAATAAACCATAACTGATCATACTGATTCTGTATATTCATTAAGTCTAAATGATCAATAAAATAAAGTGATTTCTTGTTCATAAGATCATTAAATATTAGTAATAGAATACTCATTATTGGATAAGAAGTGGAGTGTTATATAAAAGATAAAAATAGATTAATTTGGATATAGATTATGTTTTATAAATGATAGCTAATTTACATTCTAACCTAGATGTAGAGAAAAAATGTATATATATGAGATTGAGAGTAATACAAAATAGTATAGGAAGACTAAGGAAATTACTGTTAAGTGTGGATCAAACGATGATTATTTGTTATTTCCATAATAATACTTAAAATCAAAATGCCTCTTGGTGAATAAGAATGGCACAAATGTTAATTTAATGAGGAAGAAAGAAAATGGTGACTTTATTATTGAATAATCGATTGAATTTGATAATTAACTTATTTTTGGATAATTAAGTTAAGACGGAGAGTACATAATCACTTGGGATTATGTTTCAAAGGAAATACAAATAAGAAAGTGTTAGGAGAAATGAAAAAAAATGAAATATTATTAAAAATATAAAGAGAATATTTATTTTATTTTAATATTGTTGAAGAGAAGAAAAGTTTGAGAAATGGAGAAAATATTCATGTGACAAAAAATTGATTTTTGAAGTAAGAAATTTATAAATTTAGGAAAACAAATTAATTAAGAATATTTTTTTCTAAGTATTTGTAGCTATTCCATCTGTTCAAAATAATCTAATATTCATTGTTTATTGAAAAAAGGGATTTCTTTTCTTATTAGAAAAGTAAGATAAAATTTGAATTGCATAGGTTTTATAATTTTTATTTAAAAGTATGATTTCTACAGCTAAAGAAATCTAAAACGCTTTAAGTATTAAAAAGGTATTATTAATATATGTTGCAACAATATCATTTACTTAATAACTATCTAAAGTTTACAATTTCATTTCTTTAATGTATTTTTAAACATCATTAAAAAAAATATGATGATTATTTCAATATGAAAAAGTGACAAAAAGTAATTTTTTAAAAAGATATATCTAGATGCTAGCTTTTCTAGTAAAAATAATATTATTTGCAATTTCTTTGGTATGTAATAAATTGAATAAAATTATTAAAAGTATAAATCTAAAGTATTTAACTTGAAAATTATATACTTGTTTCTATTGTAATCAATTAATCAAATACTATCAGTTTGAATTATATTTGATAGACGAATAAACTGGAAATCCCCACATTTAATAGAATCTAACTTTTTGCTAGAGGTATAGAATAATAAATATCAGTATAAAACAATCAAATTATAAATAAACATTAAAATGAATTCATCTTATATAAAGAATGAATCAATCAATTATGTATGTAAATCAATCATTCAGAAATTTTTTATTCAAGGTTTTCATGATTTAAATTAGATAAAATATTTTACAAATATGATCAATATAATTTTAAATTTATATTTCTAACAATGATATTCTGCCATAGCAGATCTTGCAATTTAATTTGATCATCAAAATTAAAGGGATCATATAAGGAGTTATATCATCAATATAAAAAGTGAATAGAAAAATTAATATTAAATATCATGTTTGAATAATATTTAAAAATATAAAATCTGTATTGGTTGAAACAAAACAAAGGTTTTCTAAATTAGGGCTTATCAAGAACTTGGAAAAGCAAAGTGAAGAAAAATGCCTTTTTTTGAATCCTTTGATTGAATTGATACCAATGTCAGTTTTTTTAAAAATTTTCTGTATTGAAGCCAAACAAAGATATAAAGCCAAAATTAAGTTTATCTTACCCATCTTTCTAAAAATTCTCCATAGAAATAAATTCAGATTTGATCCCAAATGATCTAGATTGCTTCAAGTATAATAATATTATCCTCATCATAGTATTGAACCAATTAAAAGCCATAATTAGATGGTTTTGGTATCATTTATCCTTTTTTATTGATGGAAATACTTTAGCTTCATCTTCTGTAGAGGACTTGATGTGAGTCTATCCATTTAGAAAGGAGAATAAATTTTTAAATTAAAAGGACATAATGGAATTGCCAATTAATATGCTTCTCTCCTAATGGCATTAAATTAACATCTTACTGTATTGAAAATCTTTTCTTTTTAGGGGATGTTAAGACTAGAGAATCATATTGAATAGATATACTATTATTTCAATCTAATTTAGATTATTATTGTCTCTGATATTACTACTATAGCAGCTTGTAATTAAAAAAGGTGATGAATGTTAAAAAATGATTATATTTTAACCCTCACATAATAATTATTTAAATATTCTTATTAAATTTCAAACTCCTTTAAAACAATATTTTTTGAATTCTTGAAAATCGTAGTATCGATGTTAATTGTATTTAGTTTCGTATAATTTTAATTTTAAACATTATTAGCTTAAAATTAGTTTAAGCATATAATTAAGGAATGATTTTGTATTTTATACAACGCAATCTAATTTTCATATTATCAAAAACATCAAAAATTATATAATGAATTCTCTTTTCATTTTTATTCATTTTATTAAATGTAGGCAGTTATTCGATTTTTTTGCAGCAAAATCAACTAAGTTTTTGAAATATTTAAGAACATTAAGTGACAAAAATGTTCAGATAGAGAACTGAAAGAACATAAAATTAATGAATACTATATTATATCATGGTTTCAAGGTCACGGTGTTTCATTTTAATTTTTTAGAGATAATTTAGAATAAAAGATTAATTATGATAAGTGAGTCAATGCTTGAAATCTTATATTTACAGAATTTTTAATATGCAGGTATCTGAGTAGAGTTTTGAATAGATTAATTATGAGCAATTTCCAATAATACAAGTATTTGGATTGTAGTTTATTTCATTCACATTATTTATCATTGAGCATTTTTCCATTAACTACAAAATTGATTTCAAATTTGAAAATTTTACAATCTTCAGCAATCTTAATTTTAATTTTAGTCTTAAGATGAATCTTTGTATAATATGACATGAAAGAAAAGAGGATATGTAAATAACTAATTATAGGATAATTTCCTTTATTGGTGAAAGATTTTCTATTTTTAGGATCAATACATGAAAAACACAATAAATAAGGCTTATAGAAAAAATGATAATGCGCCCTTTATTTTTAAGAGAAAAATAAAATAGATGATTGTGAAAGAAAGGGATAAAAAACAACTATAATATAGCAACAGAAGAACAGGTTAGAAAAAAATCAAAGTATAAAAATTACATATTAATTATATTTTGATCAGGTAATTTTAGATTAATTCAAAAATACTTAATAAAATCCATCAGACTATTGACCAATAAAAATATCGGGAGAGTTACCAATAGTATACAGACTTTATTTTCTTTAATCAGAGAAGGAGAGAAACTTATATGGGGATGAAAATAGTGGAAATATCTATGTATGGGAACTAGCACAAATGATAGAAAATATCTCTAAAGGTATAATGATAGTTTAATTCAGAATACCAAAATATCGGATCTAGAATATCAAACGAGAATAGAACATACAAGATGTACTAATAAAAAAGAATATTATAAAATAATAAAGCATACTACTAAGATCGGAAAATAGAAGGCAAAGATATATTAAATAATTTCTATTTATAGAGAGAGATGACAGAAAAGTATAATATGAAAATAAACATAAATAAATGTGCATATTGATATAAAGAAGAAGCAGAGAATTAGAGATGACTGGATGTCAGAAAACAGAAACATATAAATACTTAGGGGTATGGTTAAATATGAGAGGTACAATAATAAAACATTAAACGAAGACACATGCTTACTAACAAAAATAGTTTGGAGCACAAAAAGGATTAAACATAGAAATAATGGAAAAGATATTAGATCGATTTTGTACTATGGAGGGTTAGCTTGTTACCTTTAAGAACAATGGATAATAATGCTACAGAGAAAATTTGATGAAATATACACAAAAAGTGTTAAGAGATTAAGAGAAGAAAGCCTTCGGATTTAAAGATCTAGAAATGATGAATGGGTGATAGTTAGAGCATAAACAAATCTAACAAAAAAGTATGATGAGGGCAGCCTATTAAGATATAAACATTCCTGGAAATCAAGAATTTATAAAAAGGGAAGGATAATACAAAAATCCTAAGGATATAAAATTGATAAGATAACCTACTAAAGCAGAAGAAAATGATCAAAAAATTGAATGATAAAATGTAAGAATATGATAAAAAGCACAAAGATATCTTAAATCACCAAGGTAAAAATCAATACATGAGAACAGAGAGAAATAGAATAGAAAAGATCCTAAATTACTGTTATTTCCATTAATGAAAATATACAAATTTTAAGTGCAGAATTCAGAGCAGCGAATTCCCTAATAATAAACATCTGGTAGATCATATGAAGGAAATATATATAGAAGAGGAATGAATGAGGACTCTAGATAAAATAACGATTTTATTATGGCAGATAACAATTTTGAAAAATAATATGCCGCAAATATGAGTGATTAAATAAATAAAAGAAATAATAAATAGATGAATTTAAGAGAGGGAAAAAAAAAAAGACTTGGCTAGAAACAACTGAATTTGATTTCTACACATTAAATATTAATTAATTGTTCATAAAGACTTTCTATATGGATAAATACTTAATATTAGTAAAGTTTGTTTGAAAGATACTTAGAATTTAATTTTGTTGTCCTTACTTCAGACATTGAAATGTGTAAAATTATTATCTTTAAAAAATAATAGTTGGATTCTATTAATATAATTTTAAATAGTCCTTTGTTTCTAATGTTTTTGAGTGTTGCTGGTTTTGCTGAATTATTAATTTAAGCAAGAATTGGTGTACTGAAATTAAAGTATTAATCTTGATAGCTGAATCAATTTAATTTGGAACTTAATTATAAATTTACATTATGCTGTAAAAGTAAATATAATAATACTTTAATGAAATATTTATTAATAATAGGTTTACTTGTTCTGATAGCAAGTGGATAATAATATAGTGTGAAAAAATGTTAATGTAAGGACCTAAAGGTTGAAATCGATTGTAAAGCCCATACGTTGAGTAGATGTACTTGGTAAGGAACTGCATGTGTCGATTATTAAGCACCAATAGATGAAGGTGATACAAGTGCAAAATCTCTTTATTGTTCTACTTTTGTAGAGGCTGATTGTGCCAAGACAAAAGGATGTGCATGGGTGGAAAAGGCTTGTACTCATTTTACAGGGTGTACTGCTTTCAAATTAGGTACTTTTGATGCTTGTTAAGCAATTTCAACTGATTGCATAACTGATGGTGTTCATTGTGTTCTAATAGATTTTTGTAATACTTATTTCACAGAAACATCATGTTTATAATCACCAAAAGATAGATATTTATGTTATTGGGATGGAAAGAATTGTTTAAATGCAGATAAATGTGAATACTTACCAAAAACTTATCTATCTGATAAAGAATGCAGAGAAGCTATTTAAACATGTACAGTTAATAGTACAGGTTAAGGATGTATCAAAAGTGCCTCTACCTGCAACTAATAGGTATCAAAAGACTAATGCATTTATGATTTGAATTTAGTTAAAATATGTTTTTGGAATTATGAATGGGCAACAGATGAATATTTATGTAGAGATTACACTTGTGATGAAGCACCATAATCATACACAACATATTAATAATGTAATGATTTTGGAAAATAAAACAAATTATTAAAATTGGATTGCACAACTAAAAAAGGAGGGGGATGTCAAAACACAAATAAATGTGAGGATAATAAAATAAAAAGTGCATGTGAATATGATTCTACTGGAGCTAAATGTATTTGGCACGATACTAGGAAATGTATTTTGTTAAATTGTGAAGCTGCTCCAACAAGTTTAGACACAAATGAAAAATGTTAAGATTTTGTAAAACAATTTACAGAATTAAAATGTATAACAAAGAGTGGTGGTGGATGTGTTAATAATGGTAATTGTAATGCTGCAAATATCTAGAGTGCATGCAAAATCAATACTTCTGGTAAGACATGTTTTTGGGATGACACAGTTAAACCCAATTTATGTAAAGAATTAACTTGTGATAACTTACCAAAAATATATAAAAAAATTAAAGAATGTTTTGATCAGCTACCTGAATGTACTTTAGCATAAAGTGGAGCAGGTTGTATTGCAAAGACTTGTAATAATGCCCCAACCGATACTTCAGATTGTGAGGCTTATTTACCAGGCAATAATTGTGTTCCAAAAAAAGATGGGGGATGTTAACCATTAGGTGATTGTTCAACAATTTTATAATCTAATTGTGATACTAAAAAAAATAAATTAGGAGGATCATGTTTTTGGGATGGATCAGCATGTAAAGAATTGATTTGTGCTAATTTAATTGGATCTAATTATCCTGATCATACTGCATGCTATGCTAAATTATCTACTTGTACTGTAAAAACAGGTGGTAATGGTTGTGAAGATTGGAAATGTGAAAACTCATTTAAAAAAGAAAACTGTATAAATGATAATTGTAAATGGAAAGGAGGTATATGTTTCAAAAAAGAATGTTCATTGGCTTCAAAAACATATCATACACATTAATAATGTAATAAATATTTGAACTCTTGTACTTCATAATTAGAAAAAAATCCAGCAGGTGGATGTGCTTTGATTCCTTTAATATGTGAAGGTATTTTTAATGAAGAAGCTTGTAAATTAAAAAAAATAGTGGATGCAAATAGTAAATTCGTCTATATAAAATGTGGTTGGGATGGAACTAAATGTATAGATTAAGGTTGTACAACATTAAGTAAAACTTTGAACACAACAGATGAGTGTAATTCAGCAGGAATAGCTTTAAATGTAAATATTAAGAATTGTGTAGCAAATAACCCTAATAGATAAAATGAAATTTTAGGATGCATTCCACTTCCATCTTAATGTAAAGATAGAAAGACATAAGATAATTGTGTTAGAAAATATGGAGGGACAGGACCTGATTGTGTTTGGGTGCCTCAAGATGCTTCTGGAACTTGTTAATTTAAAGCATGTACAACAGCACATCTTGATGGTTCAACAAGTGAAGTTACAATTATTAACAATTCTAATTGTAAAAATTATATAATAAATTGCACAACAAAGGATGGTGAAGAAGTATGTGTTTCTAGTTGTATTGCAAATAATGATAATACTTAATGTATGAATAAACCAACTTAATGCAGTGCTATTACTAATTCAGGTAATTGTGAAGATGATACTAAAGTTAATGGACATTGTGTATGGAATGATAGTTGTAAAGATAAAACTTGTGCTAATTTACCATCCTCATATGATACTCATGATTAATGCTATAGTGCAACTAAAATTGATAAAACATGTACAGTTAATGATAATGCAACTGGATGTATTCCATTGAAGATTAATTGTGTTGATTATAAAGATAAAGAAAAGTAATGTGTTGTCACATCTAATGGTAAGAAGTGTTTCTTTTCAAAAACTTGTAGAGATCTAACTTGTGCTGATATTGATAAAACAAGTTCATTTTATACACATTTAGAATGTAATACTAGATTAGATACATGCACTGTAGTTTAAGCAGTTGGTTCCTAATGTACAAGTAAATTTACAAAATGTTCAGATTATGCTATTGAAAGTAATTGTCACAAAAGAGCAGATGAAACAGAGTGCTTATGGGATGGTGCTAGCTGTTAATAAAAATCAGAATTTAATTGCACTCTTTTTAAATTAAACGATTATACTGGCGATAATTGTAAATACATATATGCATAATGTAAACCAAATAGTGATGATACTGGTTGTATGAAGAGAACTTGTGCAGATTACGAAGCTATTGATTATAATGTAACTGATGATATAGAATGCTCTTAATTTGATACTACTCTTAATTGCACAAACACAACAGCAACAAACTTACCTTGCTAATCAAGATAAGATTATTGTAGCGATTATGAAGATGAAGAAACATGTACAGTAGCTAAAGAAGGAAAATGTAGATGGTATGCAACTCTTAAATGCTATTTGGCAACAGCTCCTTGTAGTAAATTTACGGGTGTAGATTATGCAACATGTGAAGCATTAAGACCTTTCTGTAAATTAGTCAGTGGAACAACTTGTACAGCAAAAGCATGTAATGATATACTTGTTGCAAATGCAACCGCCCGAACAGATGATGAATGTAAAGAATTTGATTCTTCTTGCAGATCTACAAGATCTGATACTGACGGTTAACCTGCTTGTTATGAAGTAAAGAACACTTGTGTTGAGTATGGAAGTACAGAATCTTTTTGTAAAGTAAAAGCATCAGGTAAAAAGTGTTTTTGGGATCAAAGTGGTACTCCAAAATGTAGAGATGTTGCTAATAGTACATGTAACTTAATTACATCAATATTCGATATTATAAGAGAATTATGCTAAGATTATGATACATCTTGTACTGCTAATAGATCAGGAACTGGTTGCGTCTAAATATAAAGTAGTTGCACTAGTTATACAAACTTAGAAAATTGTGTTGAAAACACAAAAGGTTTATGTGTTTAAAATCAATTAGCAAATAGTGGAGCTATTTGTAAGGATCCAGATACTAATACTACATGTAATCTAATATATCTTGATGCAGGTAGGTATACAGATGCTAAATGTAACAGCTTGAATGTATTGTGTACTGCCAAAGATGATTCAACAGCATGTATTGATAGAACATGTGATAATGCAGCTGATAAAACTTCATTTGCAAAATGTAATGAATGGTTGAAAACTTGTACTTGGAATGGAAAAACTGATGGTACTCAAGCTTGTGTTACTATAAAAGATATATGTAGTGATTAAACAACAGAGGCTACATGTTTCCAAGCTAAAGAAGGTGAATGTGCAGTTGTGAGTGGAAAATGTAAATTACTAGATTGTTTAGATAAAACTGGGTAAAATATTACACATTATAATTGCTTGGAATATTCTAGTAAATGCGCATTATCAAATCCTGGAGGATGTTAAGGATTTTCAGCTAATTGTAGCGATTATAAATTGGAAACATAATGTTATAAGAGCAGAGGTAATGAATGTTTCTGGAATGCTAAAACTAAAAAATGTGTTGATTTCACTTGTAATAAAATTGAATAATCTGCTAGTTATAGTAGTCATAACTAATGTTTTAGTTTAACAAATTAAAATTTAAAAACAATAAATTGCACAGTCAGAAGTAATTCTGATAATACTGCTGCTGGTCAAGGATGTATGGCTTTGACTAGTTGTGAATAATATAAAATATAAGATTAATGTGTTTAAGATTCATCGAGCAAGCCATGTTAGTGGGTGAAGGAATCAGAAACAAAATCCATATGTGTTAATAGAACTTGTAGTACTGCTGACGATTCCTATTAGACTCACACTAGTTGTCTATAGTATTACAAACCTGATTACAAAGTTGATAGTCCAAAATATTCCTGTACAGTTAAAGCTGTTAAAGCAGAGAATCCTTCATATGATCCTATTGTTGGAGGTGGTTGTATTCCATTAGCAGCATGTAATACTTATGTGAGTGAAGAAAATTGTAAAATAAATGACTAATAGGGTGAATGTGGATGGAATGGATAAGAGTGTGCAGATAAATCATGTTTTACTGCTCATCCGGATCTAATCGTTGATCATATTGGATGTTAAGCTTATTTTAATTAAAAATGTACAGTTGCTTAAACACTTAAAGGATGTATCGATATTCCTGATACATGTGAAGAATTAAAAAAAGAAGAATAATGTCATATCAATAAGACTGGTGATAAATGTTATTGGGATGCTGATAATAAAGTATGCATTACTCCAACTTGCGATAATGCACCTCAGTCGTTTATTGATGGTAGCAAATGTGATGAATATTATAAAATTTGTACTCAAGATACCACAGCTCCTTGTAAGGTTTAGGTATGTGAAGATTTCTTACTCATAACAGATGATGCTTGTAAAGAGAAATTAAAAGAATGTACAACTGATGGTAAATGTTTACAAACATGCACAACTGATGGTACTAAATGTGTTCCTCGAAAACTATGTAATTAAGCATTACATAGAAATGGATGTGTGACTGATTCATTAAACAAAAAGTGTTAATGGGTTTCAGAGAAGAATTAATGTGAATAAATGGATTGCTCGACTGCTCCTGCAGCAGAATACACTACTGATGATTAATGTTATAACTATTACATTCCTGGAGAATGCATGTTAAAACCTGGTGGAGGTTGTACTAATAGAACAATTTGTACTTAAATAAAAACCGAAAGTGCTTGTTAAAGTAATAACGGTGACAGCTAGAAGGTTAAATGTAGTTGGGACAATGGATCATGTAGATACTAAAATTGTACTGATTTTAATGGTAAAAGTCATACTGAATGCCAAATATAATTTAATAGAGGGGAATGTACTGTTGGAACTGAAGGTAAATGTGCTGCAATGTAAGATTGTGAAAAAACAACAATCTAAGCTGCTTGTGTTAAAGGTCTAAATGGACCATGCTTATGGATTAGCGGAACATGTTATCCTTATACTAGATGTGAAAGTGGTAAATGGTAAAATGATAAAGATTGTAAAGCGATTTCACCTAAATGCACTACTAATGGAATTAATTGTGTTTCTATCACATCTTGTGAATTAACTAATACAATTGGAGGATGCAAAACAGGATATGATGGAGAATGCATCTTAATTAAAACAGCTACAGGAGAAAAAGCATGTAAAATGAAAGTTAATGGTTGCGTTGATGCTGCATTCACAACATGGAAAGAATGTTATGAAGATGTTAGTGAAAGATGCTCAACTGATGGAGTAACATGTATTGAATTGTAAGAATGCAAAGATTACAAAGTCGAAGATGCTTGTATTAATAGTAGATCTAAAACACCAGCCTCAAGGACTTTGACAGGTAAATGTCATTGGGATCCAGCTACTAAAACTTGTCATGATGAATTATGTGCTGAATTGGTAAGTAACACAACAACTAATAGTGATTGCTTTTTATAAATAAGTCAATGTACATCAAACGGTGTCAAATGTCTAGATAGAACATCTTGTGATAAATATGAAGTTAATGATGTTGCTTGTAATGCTTCATTTGATACTAATAATAATCCGTGTTTTTTTGAAGCTGCATCAGCCACAAATGGTAATGCTGCTAGATGTAGAGTCAAGACTTGTGCTGATCTCAAAGTTACAGAATGTACTTTAGGATTTGCAGGAGCATTATCCTGTGTATCTGATGGAACTGTATGTGTTCTTACAGGAACATGTTCTACATACAAAACTAAAACTTCATGTAATGCAGGTGGTACTGATGGAGTTTGTGTATTTACTCCCTCTGATACTGGTTCATGTGCTAAAATGACTTCTTGTGCATAAGCTAATAATGATTAAGATGCTTGCAAAAACGCAAGTATAGCTAGAAAATGTTCATGGACTGATCCAGTTACTGCTACTGCTTCAATACCAGCATCTCCATCCAAATGCTCATAGCATACTTGTGCTACGTATTAAGCAGAACAAAAGAAATGTGAAATTTTCAACAACTTTGATGAAAGTTTGTAGGCAATCTGTCAAATGAATGCAGGTAAATGCTCTGAAGTTGATCCAAAGACTTTGACTGCTGAAACCTGTTTCTCTATTTCTGGTTACACTTTTACATGGAATACTGGAACTGTTGGATGTTAAGCTTGTTCAACAGTTACACCTCAATCAAATAACAACACAGCAACTAATCCAAATACTAATAATAATGGTACCAACACTGTTGATTCTGGATACATTCTTGGATTTGCTGCTGTTATCATTTATACCATGTTCTGATTTTGATTCATAAATTTATATAGGAAAAATTATTTAGTAAATTTCAAAAACTTATTTTTTAATATTATACTTATTTTTATTAATTTAGAACCAAAAAACAATCATTACTAATTTAAAAATTAACTTTATTTATAGTTAATTTTTTTAAACCACTTAACTCTCTGAATAGCTTAAAATAAAATAAATAAATACTGTATATTTATATCAACTTCTAATCTATTCAACAATGATTAAAAATATCTTATTATAAAAATTAAATAAAACCATTTTTTGACTTTGAGCTCATAAAAGAAAATGAAAAGCAAACTAATTGTAATAAATCATAATTTAAATCCTTAACAGTATGCAGAATAATTTATAGTTCTTTGATGATTATATAATCACTTTTAGAATTAAATTAAATAGAAGTAATAGTAATTTTATTTTATATAGATTATAATATGAAATATATATTGTGTTTTTTAAACTACTTATTAATATGTAATTTTAATTTTTGAATATTGAGCTTGAACTTTCCTGATTATTTTTGAATTTTCTTATCAATTTTCGATTTTATAAATCACTTTAATAGATTTGATAAACTTCAAGAGCCCATTCTACAATTAATAAATTTTAAAAAATCTCATAATCATCTTCACCTTCGCTTTTATATAATTTTTTTAGAAGGATAATTAATAATCTCGTTAGAATAATACTCAATAATTAGTAATTTAATTGAATTAAATTTATGACAATATGGATACATTAGATCAAAGTATTTGGATAAATCTTTAGAATTAATCAAAAGATACATATTTAAAAACGCTTTAATTAATATAGACTAAATAGAGACGTGGTTTTTAGAAAAAATATTAAAATTGCATGGTCAATGGAATCTAAGTTAAATTCTAGAATATGCACTAATTAATGCTTTCATCAAAAATAAGAAAATTCCGCCAGAAAAGAGCATAAGTTAACTAATAGAAATTATAAGTTTTTTATTTGAAGGAAAAACAGAGGTATTATATAGAGAAACAGTGAATCTTTAGAACTACTTACATAAATATTAAAAATAGATCCATAAGAGCAATCGTAATTATTAAGTGTAATCAAACTTATTCTATAATTGTTATTTAAAGGTGATTAATTAAATTCAAATATCTAATAATCTGAAAGTTAAATTGAAGTATTACAAGAAGTAAAATAATAAAGGTGCATAAACCTTGTAAACTTTTTCAAATATACAAATCATAAAATAACAACAAAGAATGTTTTATTATATCCAATAAAATGGTTAGGGTCTACTTTTGAAAACTCTAAATAACCATTTGCCAAATTTTCTGAATTTCCTAAAATATTTATGGAAAATTGTACTCCAAAAGATTTTAGGTAAATTTTGAGTATATTGTGTTATTTAAATAATTAAGAGATTAACATAAAATCAGATTTATCAAAAAAAAAAGTTAGCTTTTATCAAGAATCTTTTATAACTTGGTTTTAACTAAATTATGATGATGATTTATTAGTTATGTTATAATTTATTAAAGATAAGGCTTTTGATATTTCATAATTTCCAGTCCCTTTACAAATAATTATTTAAGCTTTAATTGAATTATTTTATGATGGTGAAATTAATACAGGTTTATAATAAACCCTTTTGAAATAATTTATATTTGAAACTAAAAAGAATGAATCTTTAAAATAAGTAATTGAAGCCTATATATAGTATCAAGGAGATATCTCAGATGAACAATTTAAATTAAAAACTATAATTTACTTTCTATTTATCCAGAAATATAAAAGTTAGTTGAAATGATAGTATTAAACTGAAAAAATTGATTATTTAAAAATTTTGCTTCTTTAAATTTAATAACAACGTTTTGATAATAAATAATTAGAAGGATTAAAACTTGAAAATATTCCATTTGAATAATTAAATGAAATTGCTTAATTGGAACTTATTTTTGGAGAAAAATAGAAAAATTAATTTATAAATTTTGATCAAATGTTCCTACTAAATTTTTGCCTTTAAACAAAAATAATCCAATTAGATTACACAAAAATTTTTTTTGCTTTAGGAAAATATCTTAGTTAAATGATATTTAAATAAGTTTATAATCACCTTAATAATTAAAAAGGTAAAAATGGCTTCATTAGCAAATCCAGATACAATGAGAATTATTTAATATATGAGTTCAGTTATGTTAAATTAAATGATAATCAAGAGTTAAAATAGGAAGATATGTTTTAGATTTTTAGATGAAAATTGTAAAAGATAATATAAACATAGGATGTTATCAAACATTCTAAAAAAACTAAATTTCTAGAGTATTTCTATTAGGTATTATCATTCTTTTATAATGATAAATGTGCTTATAAAATTACTTCTTAATTATAATATTTATTTAAATAGAGATCTCATAATTAATAAAAATATTAAGTTATCTAAATTATAAGTAAAAATATCATTAGATAAGAAAGGAGGCAAATATTATTTAAATATCTAGTATTAGATTTCATAAGGATATTAGAACTAAATTCTATTCATGATTTATTAGAGAAAACTAAGCTTAATTCTTAAATTGAGGAAAATAATTAAGAAGAGAAGATATTATAAAATATTTATAGAGTATTGTTTAATTGGTTCATAATCTTTCGAATAGTAGAGTAAGCAAGGCTATAGCAAAATTCAAAATCCCAAACTTAAATGATCAGTTTCAGTTGCTCTAATAAAACAAAAATTATAATATTAATATGAAGAAGATTTAACTACCATTCAGAAAAATGTGGAATAAAAGTTGAGAATGAAACTTAAAATGCTTAATTTAGCCTAATGAAAAGTCTTTGGGTATAAAAAATAAGGTAGTAGAAGATATACAAAAGAAAAGAGAAGAAAACTATAAGTTCACTCTTAAATCACATCCCTAAGAAATTAGCCGAATTCTATTCATTCATTGAGTTAGATAAAGATCGAAAGTTTATTTAAATCAATTAGTCAGACATTTTAGATTTTCATTATGAAAAAGAAAGAAAAATCAATAAATTACAGAAGGAGGTAGTAATTAGAACAGAACTTCAGTATCTTTAAGTAAAGAGATAAAAAATATATTGGGGAAGATGGGGAAACAATATATAAGAGCTTGATTATCAAGCTTAGGACATAGAGAAATGAGCAGGGTAGGTACCAAAAGCCTCGACTAATGAATTTTTGCTATTAGAATCATAATTAACCGATAGGGAAAAAGTTATACATATTTATATGGAAAAATAATTGTGTTTTTTGTATGCTAAAACTGTTAGGTAATTAAAGGAATAAGGAAAAAAGAATTTATTTAAAAAGTAAATTTGTTCTAATCTTCTTAAATGAATAAGTAAAAAGATTTTAATAGTAATCATAAGAAAATCAAGGAAGATTCTAATATTTCTAACAATCATTTTTTCATTATATTGAATTATTTACTATTTAATAAACTAATAAAATTAAGATTTATTAATGAGAAATAGAAAGACTTAGAATATCCATCAATACTTTAAAAAGAATGAAACTGTAAATCCTAAATTTAATACAATCTTTACAATATCTGATTGTTATTTATATTATTTATTGTAAATTATTTTTTTAATTATAGATTATTTTTTTATTATCAATATAGAAGGAAACTATCCAATGATTTCTGCGATAGAGAATGTACAGTTTGACTATTTGATAGCTAATGAATCTATTACTAGTTAACTTACTTTGAATGGAATCAAAGAAATTAAAAACCATACTTAATATTTTTTTCTTGGATGAATTTTTTTTAAATTGTTATAGAATTTAATAAAGAAAAATGAAATAAAAAAGATTTTATTTCATGCCCTTTCGCAAATATTTTCATATATTGCCTGAATTCGCTTGAGCAATATTAATCCAGTTTTTTCGTAGAGATGTAAAACTGAAGCTATCACTTGATGGAGTTAGGGGGAATATGAGTAGAGGTTTGTATCCTGATCTTTATGGTACGCAGCACTTTTGGAAGGTATGAGTTATAGAACAAGAAAGAGTTTTACCTGTCCTCCAAAGTCAGGAGAAATATAATTATATCTTATATGAATATTAAAAGATTTACTTATTTATATTTTATAAGAATGTTACTTTATGGTTTTATAGTTGGGTTACTATTCAACCCTTATGACGTTACTCTTTTTTGCATTTTCAAAAGTAAAAATTTATCGGGAATTAATGTATCATTCAGCATTAAGATAGATAGATAGTTAATTCATAATAAAAGGATTTATAAATATAGAGGGTAAAAATAATTAGCAGAATCAAAAAAGGCTAGAGAAGCTCTTATATTATGATGAATTATAAACTTTTTTTATATTAAATCGTTTGAAGTTTTAAATCTCTACACTTAGAATAAAATATGTATAAATCAAAGTAATTTATGAACTCTGAATTCAAAAATTTTAAACATTTGTTTTAAGATTCTAAAGAAATTACAGTTCTTAAAAGATGCCAATTTAGCCTTTAATAAAATTTAATCTTAATTTAATATGAAAAATCTTGAAAAATTTGGAAGAAAAAATTAATCAAATAGTGATTTTATAAACCTTTATCTAGTACATCATCCTTTGAAATACCATATTTTTTTTTCTTTTAATTCTTGATTTACTGCGGAATCAGTTATGCTTAAGAAATCAACTTAATATCTTAAGCTGAATCTATTTGAGGTGTATTTTCACGAATAAAATGCAAATCTTTTGGTTCAGCTGCTTCATCTTTAATATTAATAGCAAACATATCTACTGATTACATCTAATGTTAATAAAATTGTAAATAACCCTTTGGCAATTCCAACTCATTTTTGAATTTTATATTCAAATGTTAAAATAGCATAGTTAAATTTGAATTTTTATTTCTATTAGCTTTAATCCTATATACCTTAACATATTTTAAAATATCAAAATCTTATTTATACAGTTTGTATCTACACTTTAATTAATATAAAATTCTAAAGATAATCATAGAACTTATAATTTAACCATAAGATTCAGATTAGACAACAATGATGTAACCCATAGAAGATTTAATAAACTTGTTAAGAATAAATAATTGTTTTTTATTTTTGGAAAAATAAATAAAGTATAAATATGAAGTGATAATAGATTAAATTACTTGTTAAGATTTATTTAAGCAGAGGACTTAATTCCATCCAAATTTTAATGAATCTAAACCCTAATAAATATTCAAGATGGATTTTTTAGATCAAATGTACAAATAGAAATTGTTAAAGAATTGGCAGAAATCTAATAAAATTATTATCTAAAAAGTTATCTCTGCTGTTGAGTTAACTTTATAATTTAATCTTACCTTCCAAAAGTATGATCTCTAAATATTGATATATAGAATTAAATTGTTTGGAATGATTATAATATAGACTGAAAAATGAAGAATTATATTTTATTGTAAAATTGTATATGAAATTCTTTAATTATTATTTTAGGATTAATTTTAAAATTGAGGATATAAAATAATAATATAAATTTAACTTAGAAAAAAATAGGCTAGATAATCTTACAAATACTATATATATTATAAATATATATTATAAATTAATTTATTACTTGTATATTATTATATTTATTTTACATTTGAGAATTAATCCTTTCCATTTAAATTAACCTGTCTTTATCATTTTAAAAATTTTAACTTCTTTGATTTGTATTCCAAATTTTTATTATTATATATTTAACTAAATGCTAATAATTATCTATTTTGTAATAATTTGCCAATCCAAAAAAGTGATCATATATTTAAATTCAATTATTTTCTAAAGATTGCTAAATAATAATATAATATTTTTATATCAGCGCTTAATTTCCAAATTTTACTATTAGAAATAAAATGTTTTCTAAAATAAAGTTATATGACTTGAACGGCTATGGATCTTTTGATTTAATAAATTAAATAATATAGAAAAAAATGCCTAAGATCAGGTATAAAATGGAAAAATTTTTAAATCATCTATCTGTAAAGTAGAAATTCATTCCTTAATGGATAAAAAATTTATAAAAGAAAAGAAGGCTTAAAAATTCTCAAAAAGTCAATATAATATAAATAAATTTAAAACTTAAGATAATAATTATTTTATATTTGATTTAGTTTTCATTGATGAGAATATCATGATGGAAAAGAGAAAATTTTAATTATGTGGACTAATCCAAAAATCATTTTTCCTTAATTTCATTTAGTACAAAAATGAAAGAATTTTAGCTGATAACAATTAATTTTCAAAAACTATAAAATTTTTGTTGAAAATTTTCTAAAATAATAGAATTAACAATAAATAATAATAATATCTAATATTTCTTCATAAAGAAAAATAATTTAATGAACAAGAATGTCATTTATTTATTTTTGCTTTACTGCTCCTTAATACTTAATGTAAAATGCCTTTAACAATCTATTTATGAGGAATTTAATAATAAATAGATATCGTTAAGTAATACTTTATGGAATTGTGAGGACCCATCAATTAAACCAACAAAAACATTTTCATGTAGCAAGGGAGTGGATTTAATGCCCCTAGAGAAAGTGGATTAAGTTTGCCATAATATTTAGAATACTATAAATACAAAACTACCTCATTTTGAAATTTAGTTATACATAGATGTGTAAGGTAATAATTCTATAGATGACTATGAATGCATAAGTATTCAAGTAACCGATTAATTAGACAGACTATAGATATGTTTAAATTCAAAATATAACTCCACTTTTGGAAGTTCACTTTATTGTCTTCAAGATGAAGTTTGGAAATATTAGCTACGTTAAACATAAATTATTTAAACAACACATTCCTCTGAAAATATCTAAATATAAATATCAGCTAATTGCGATTAAGATTTTTCTGATGAATCATATTCGTTTAGAAATATCTAATTATTTGTAATTAGATGTTACAAAACCTGTAAAACTTGTTCAGGGGAAAGAAAGGATTAATGCAAAAGTTGTTATGATAATATAGTTATGAATGGTAATACATGTAAATCTTGTAAAGATTAACGGGACAAATAATTTCTTTAAATTCCTGGTGGTTGTAGAGACAATTGTAAATAAAATTATAGTTTTGATGAAGAGTTCGTTTGCTAGGAAGATATATGTAAGATTTATATCTAATCTTTAGATGTTTAAAAATCTTGCTAAGAAAGTTGTTAATTGTGTACAAATACATAATATTGTTTATAATGTTAAGAATAAAAATATCTCCATTCTGGTTAGTGTATAACTTAATGCCCAGATTACACAAAGATAGAAGGAAAGAATTGTTTGAATAGCATAGATATATTGAAAAAATAAAATATAAAGATTTTAGAATAAGTCAAAGAATTTTACGATCTATCAACAACTAATAGTAAGATCAAGTAGTTGTTTACATTTATATCAAAAATTGGAGAAAGTCATTTCTTAAAAGGAGGTGAAATATATTTCAGCTACTTATCAAATAAAAGAATATTTGGAGGACCATTTATATGGAACAATGCTAAATTTCGATTTAATTACTAATGGACATAATAAATCAAATATTTTATAATATTTTTTGAAATCATTCTGGGTGACACTGAATTAAATTCAAACAAATTAAATTATTAAATAAATTATGAATCACAATAAACTATAACTTTACATTAATAAATGCATATAAATCGATCCAGACATCGAAGATTAAAATTGGCCTAGCGATTATAAATATAATAAATACAATGTGGATGTCTCTTTTTCATATAAATAATAAACTAGTCTATTAACTACTATAGACTTAGAATGTTTGGGGTTAAATCAATTTAGCTTTTGCGCAATTTAGAATTTTAACATAGTTGGATTTTCTGAATGTATCCAAGGATACAAATTTGATTAATTTAATTACGAAAGAAAATCAACCCCTGCATCCCAATTTGCGGAGATAAATTAAAAGTTGAAGATGAAGAATGTGATGATGGAAATGAAGATCCATTTGATGGATGTTTTAATTGTAGATATCATTGTGAAGAATTTTGTATTAATTGTGTTAAAGGTTAGTGTTTATAATAAATTCAATAGTAAGAATAAATAGTAAATAAATTGGAAATGAATATTAATTATGAATAGAGTTATGATTTGGATATGGCTTAGTTTTCTTGTATTTTTTAATGTAGTTTTTGCATTAATAATTAATGTATGTAATATAATTATGGATATTATTTAAATCCATATACAAACTTATGTTTGACTATATGTGGAGATTTTATTTAATAATCTTATGAATAATGTGATGATTATATGATTGGCATATTTATGATTAATTATAATATCAATGATTATGATGGTTGCTCAAACTGCTAATTGATTTAATATGAAAAATGCGATCAAGATCCTGAAATAATTAAACATCATTGCTAAGTTTGTTTCTAAGGAAAATGTTTAAAATGCAACGATGGTTTATTATTAGATGGGGATGTTTGTATTTCAGTGTGTGGAGATGGTTTAATTAATGTATAGGAGGAAGAATGCGATACTGAATATGAAGGATGTGAGAAATGTAAAATAATGAATGGTTATATTTGTGGAAAACTGCCTTTTTCAACTTGCAGCACTTGCGATAAAGAGTGTAAAAAGTGCACAAATTTAGATGGAATCAATTTAATATGCTTATCATGTATAGATGGTTATTATGCAGTAGAAGATAAATGCCTCAAATGCGATTAGAATTGTATTAATTGTAATTTATAATCAAATTTGTGTACATCATGCTTCAGAGAGGATTGTGATTTTTGTGAATCTACTCCTGGTTTATTTGCTGATATAAAGATTAAAAAATGCAATTCTATTTGTGGTGATGGAATTTAAGTTCAATTTTATGAATAATGCGATGATCATAACTTGAAGAATGGTGATGGTTGTGATTCATAATGCAATTTAGAATATTTAGATGATGAATTTAATAAATTTAAAGATTGTCAATTCAAAGGAAATAATACTTATGATTTAACAATTAAATAATCATCTGATTTAAATCTTTTATGCAATACCTAATGTTAATATAGATAACATAGATATTCAATATTACAACTATAATTGTACCTAAATTAATCAATTAACTTATAGATTATCATTTGAATTTACAAAGTCAGTCTATAAATTCAACATAATTCATGTTAAATTAAATTATATTCGTGCAAATCAAATTTATAGATAAATTTTAAGTTAAGATAAAATTAATGAATATTATATACCACCAAATGAGAATACTTATTTAGATTAGAATCAAATCTCTTAAAAGTATTATATTCAAAGTGTTTAAGAATCATTTAGTTTCTTCTTTTTGATAATGATTCCTATATCTATTCTATTAAACCTATTTAATTGCTTATGGGCAGTTTTAGAAATACTAAGTTGGATCAATAATTTTTATTTCCTTAATGTAAATTATCCTTTTAATGTGGAAATATTCTTTTTAAAAAGTGATTGGTCATCTTTTGTAAGCCTTCCAACTTATTAGGGATTAAATTAGCCAGATTCTAATTATTATTTTGAAGCTCCAAAGAGATTTAAAGAAAAAGGAATAGACCCTTTATTTTTCAATAACATACAAACTCCATTTATGTTCATAGCCTTCTCTTTGCTTCTCTATTCAATAAATTATATTTGTTATTAGTTTTTTTATTTTCTTAATGATGTATTTAAGTAAAAGATTATTATAAAAGTTAAGCAATTTAGTATTTTTAATATTTAGATAATCTAAAAAGTTAAAAAACAACCAAATAAAGAAAATCATAAAGTATAAATTAAATCAAATTTTTATTTACAATTTATAACTTAGACTTTTAAATAACATTCCACTCATTTGATAAATTAATTTAAATAAACAATCTAATTGTGTTTATTAGATATTAAAATCAAAAATTTTAATTCAATCAAAATTTATTTTATTTTTAAAAAGAAATCTTTAAATTTTCATATGAATTCATATTGTACATTAGCGATTCAGCTTTAATTATCATTTTCAAATGGATCTTCAAATATAATAGTAGGTTTTAATTCATTTTTTGCTATAATAACGATTGGAGTCATTATATTTTAATTATATCGGCAATATTAAGTATTGAATATTCATAAACTTAAAGCCTAAAGTAAGCACTTTGAAGATCTATATGGAGTTTATTATGAAGATATTGATACTGAAAAATAATATGGTTATTATTATTTATACTTTGGATAAATAAGTAAGATTTTATACATCTATTTTATGGTAAATTACTATTATACTCCTCTTCTTTAAGTTAGTTTATGTTATTTATCTAGCTCTTTGCGCTTTTTACTTTTATTTTATGATAATCCATATAATTCTAAAAAGTAATTTATTATAGAATTAATATCCAATTTTTGTTTAAGCTCAATTATTTTAATTATTTTATTTATTTTCTATGAATGACCAAATAACTATAAAATTTATAGAATAAAACAAAGTTATTTTAGGTTGGTTGATAATATCTTTAGTCATTTTTGCAATTTTTGTTGAATTTTGTATTTTGGTTGCTGGAATTTTAATGTACTTATTTTCAATTTTCAAAATGATTTAGAATTTGATTAAGAAAGTTTTCAATAATAACAGAGATAGTATACAATAGCATTAATAAAAATAATAATTACAAATTACTAAAAAAATTAAAAACAAAATTAGAAGTGTTTGAATATGAGGAAAATGCAGAATCAAATAATTATAATATTTGATATTAATTATTCATATTTAAAATTTTATTCAATAATCTAAATTCACTATTATTCTTAATTTCGTTATAGTTTAATACAAAAAAAATTAATTGCATACAAAGCGAATAAAATTTAGAAATATTGGCAAATTATTTTAAAAAGTCTTACAACTTAAGAAAAACAAACAGTTTCTTGTATAGAAAAAAGAGTTATTAGTTTAAATTCCAAATTACTTCCTTTTATTTTGAAATGCTTAATCAAAATGAAAAACTAATCTATTCTGAAGCTTTTAGTTATTATTTGTTTAACTTTGAACATTTTATGATTGCTTTAAACTAAGATACATTTGATGAGCAATCAGTTAGGCTAAAAAGATTTTACTGTCGAAAGTAATTATCAATATGCATAGATCAAATATTGAATAGATGATATAAATAAGGAAAGTTTCATATTAATATGAATTAAATGAAGCCATTAAAAAATGATAAATATGATATTGATGAAATACGATAAGAAAAAGAAAAATAAATTATTCGGGCAATTTTAGGTTGGCAACCATCAAAAATTCATTCTACTTCTCCCTTAATTCAGAAGGATTATTACATAAAATTACCGAAGACAAAAAAATTATCTATATGTAGCAAGGAAGAATCTTAAAAATGTCGAATCTAATAAACCTAATTATTAAAAATAGTAAAAATATGAAGAATGATTAATATTCTGTAATCAATTACAATTTAGAAATGCTAGAAAATTTGAGTGATATGGAAAGTTTGATTGAGAACAGTTAAAATATGGTGCTTGGAAGGGTTATTGATATGGATAGTCTACAAAATTGAGTGGAATATATAATAAAGGATAAAAAATAAGATTATGAGTCGAACCTTGGGAAAACTATTGGAGGTAATTTAATATATTTATCGTCAATCAGCGGTTGTAAAGTAAAGTTTTAAGGATATTATAAATAAAATGGTAGAAGGGTTGAAAAATGTTAGTATATAAATGATGTTAATACTAAATTATTTATTTGTAGTGGTGATGGTTATTTTAATATATTATCCGTGCTATTTGTTTGCATAAAGCTTCTCTATAATATTAAATATTTTCAGTGCAATACTCATTAAATAGAATCGAATAAGGGCATTATTTATTAATATAAAGAAAATTAAGTAGCAATGTTTAATATTAATATAAACAGACAAGAATAAAAAATAATACATTTTCAGAAAGTCATAAAAAACTTTTATTGGCAATTTAATGAAATTTTTTATTGTAATATGTTGAAAGTTATAAAAAGTATTATATATATAATTAATTGTTAAATATACAATTAAAACAAATAAGTTTTATGATCTTATAAAGCATGTGTTAATCATAATTTCAAAAGAAGCAATAAAAGAAAAAGTATAAAATAATGAAAGATATGTTGTAATAATCTCTTCAATCAGAAAAATTGTAATTAACTCTTTTGAAAGAAAAAATTGCTTCAAGTATTTATTTTAGGAAGAGTTAAAAAGAAATATAAATTGAAATGCATCTAAAAGAGAAATTCAAGAGTAATACATTAATATAGCTGATAAAAATGTGGGTGGAAAAAAAAAAAGTGATTAAATTAAGTAATAAAAACTCATAAAACAAAGTTTTATGTGAAAATTATTAAGAATAATTAAGATTTTCAATTATAAAATAAATGTTAGGTGCTGGTGGATATATAAATAAAGCATAACATGATTTATATTAGAAAAATGGTAAATTTGATTTATTAATAACTATAGAATATACATTATTGAACATAAATCAATTTTAAGAATAATTATAATACCATAATCATGCATTTAAAAAAAATGATGAAGATTACAAAGAGATTTTTAATAAAGGTAATATTTAAGGGTAATGATATCTAGCAATTATATTAAATAAGATGAATCGATTTGATGAAGCATTATAATATTATGATTATGCAATTTAAAAAAATCCTGACTATGCTGAATCATATAATAATAAAGGTAAATTTACCTAATATAAAATCTAGCAATTACATTAGAGAATTTAGATCGATTTGAGGAAGCATTATAAAATTATAATTATGCAATTTAAAAAAATCCTAACTATGCTGAAGCATATAATAATAAAGGTAAATTTACATGTTAAGTGCAATTTAGCAATAATATTAGAGAAATTAGATCGATTTAAGGAGGCTTTATAAAATTATGATTAAGCAATTTAAAAAAATCCTAACTATGCTGAAGCATATAATAATAAAGGTAAGTTTATTTGTTTAAGTAATTTAGCAATGATCTTAGAGAAGTTAGATCGACTTGAAGAAGCTTTATAAAATTATGATTACGCAATTTAACAGGATCCTGACTATGCAGAAGCATATAATAATAAAGGTAAGTTTACTTATTAAAATAATCTAGCAATTACATTAGAGAATTTAGATCGATTTGAGGAAGCATTATAAAATTATGATTATGCAATTAAAAGAAATCCTAACTATGCTGAAGCATATAATAATAAAGGTAAGTTTATTTGTTTAAGTAATTTAGCAATGATCTTAGAGAAGTTAGGTCGACTTGAAGAAGCTTTATAAAATTATGATTATGCAATTTAACAGGATCCTGACTATGCAGAAGCATATAATAATAAAGGTAAATTTACTTTTTAAAATAATTTAGCAATGATATTGGAGAATTTAAATCGATTTGAGGAAGCATTATAAAATTATGATTACGCAATTTAAAAAAGTCCAGAAAATGCTGACATATATAATAATAAAGGTTAGTTATTTTTTTTTTTAATTTAGCAATTATTTTAAATAAGTTGAATCGATTTGAAGAAGCATTAAAATATTATGATTATGCAATTAATTTAAATCCTGAAAATGCTGATATATATAATAATAAAGGTATTTTAGTTGATTACTAAATATAGCAAACACACTAGATAAGTTGAATCGATATTAAGAAGCATTATAATATTATAATTATTCTATTTAAAAAAATTCTGAATTTGATGATGCGTACATTAATAAAGGTTAAATTTATAAAATAATTATTATAGCAATAATATTAAAAAAGCTAAATCGACTTGAAGAAGCATTGTAAAATTATGATTATGCAATTTATTTAAAACCGGAAAATGCTGATATATATTATAATAAAGGTAAATTAACTTGATTATGAAACTTAGCTATTACATTAGATTAATTAAATCGATTAGAAGAAGCATTAAAGTACTATGATTATTCAATTTAAAAAAATTCTTAATAAGCGGATACATATAATAATAAAGGTAAATTTACTTGGAAAGTAAATCTAGCAATTACATTAGAAAAATTAAATCGATTTGCAGAAGCATTATAATATTGTGATTATGCAATTAAATAAGATCCTGAATATGCTGCTGCTTATATTAATAAAGGTAAAATTTCCTTGATAAAAATATAGCAAGTATATTAAATAAATTGAATCGGTTTGAAGAAGCATTATAAAATTATGATTATGCAATTTAAAAAAACCCTTAAGGTTACAAAGCTTTATCTAATAAAGGTAAAATTTAATAGATAATACAAAATAGCTAATACATTGGAGAAATTAAATCGATTTGAAGAAGCATTATAATATTATGATTTTGCAATTTAAAAAAACCCTGATTATACAACTGCGTATATTAATAAAGGTAATATTTAATTGAGAAATTTATAGCGAATATATTACATAAGTTAAATCGATTTGAAGAAGCGATACAAAATTATGATTATGCAATTTAAAAAAACCCTGAAGATTACAAAGCTTTTTCTAATAAAGGTAAAATTAGATTAAAATACAATTTAGCTAATTCATTGGAGAAATTAAATCGATTTGAAGAAGCATTATAATATTATGATTTTGCAATTTAAAAAAACCCTGAAGATTTCAAAGCTTATTTTAATAAGGGTAAATTATACTTGATCATATAATATAGCTAATACTTTAGAAAAATTAAATCGGCTTGAAGAAGCATTATAATATTTTGATTATGCAATCTAAAAAAATCCAGAAAATTCTGATATCTATAATAATATAGGTGAATTATTTGATTATTAAATATAGCTATTACGTTATAGAATTAAAATCGATTTTTAGAAGCATTATAATATTGCGATAAAGCAATGTAAATAAACCCTGAAGATTACAAAGCTTATTTTAATAAAGGTAAATTTACTTCATCATTCAATTTAGCCATTACATTACACAATTTAAATCAATTTCAAGAAGCATTACAATACTATGATTATGCAATCTAAAAAAATCCGGAAAATGCTGATATATATGATAATAAAGGTAAAATTTACCTGATATTAAATATAGCAATTACATTAAAAAAACTGAATAGATTTGAGGAAGGTTTGTAGTAAAATGATTTAGCAATTTAAAATAATCCTGAAAATGCTGATGTGTATAATAATAAAGGTAATTTTTTTTCTTTAAATATAGCAATTATATTAGGGAATTTAAATCGATTTGAGGAAGCATTATAATGTTTCAATGATGCAATTTAAAAAAACCCTGAAGATTACTATGCTTATTTTAGAAAAGGTAAATTAAATTAATTAAAAATATAGCAAATATATTCGAGAAATTAAATCGATTTGAAGAAGCCTTACAATATTATGATTATGCAATTTAAAAAAACCCTGAAAATGCTGATATATATAATAATAAAGGTAATTTTTATTTTAATTATAGCAATGATATTCGAGAAATTAAATCGATTTGAAGAAGCCTTACAATATTATGATTATGCAATTTAAATAAATCCTGAAAATGCTAATATATATAATAATAAAGGTTATTTACTTGTATATTAACTATAGCAAATGCATTAGATAAGTTGAATCGATTTGATGAAGCCTTAAAATATTATGATTATGCAATCAAAAAAAATCCAGAATTTGCTGATGCGTATTTTTATAAGGGTAAAATTTTAACTTGATTATTAAATCTAGCAATTACATTAGATAAGTTAAATCGATTAGTAGAAGCACTACAATAATATGATTATGCAATTTAAATAAATCCTAAAAATGCTAATGCATTTAATAATAAAGGTAAAATTTACTTGAAACTATAATTTAGCAAATCTATTACTTAAGTTAAATCGATTTGAAGAAGCATTATAATATAACGATTATGCGATTTAAAAAAATCCTGAAGGTGCCAAATTTTTTTCTAATAAAGGTAAATTTTACTTGAATATATAATTTAGCAAATACATTAGAAAAATTAAATCGATTCGAAGAAGCATTAGAATATTATAATTTTGCAATTCAAATTAATCCAGACAATTCTAATTTATATAATAATAAAGGTAAAGTTTACTTGAATGTATAATTTAGCAAATCTACTTCTTAAGTTAAATCGTTTTGAAGAAGCATTAGAAAATTATGATTATGCAATATAAAAAAACCCTGAAGATTACAAAGCTTATTTTAATAAAGGTAAGATTCACCTGATAATATAACATAGCAAATACATTAAAACAACTTAATCAATGTGAAAAGGCGTTAAAATATTATGATTATGCCATTTAAATAGATCCTGAAAATGCTAATGCATTTAATAATAAAGGTAAAATTTACTTGAAAATATAATTTAGCAAATCTATTACTTAAGTTAAATCGATTTGAAGAAGCATTAGAATATTATGATTTTGCTATTTAAAGAAATCCAGAAACTGCTAATGTATATAATAATAAAGGTGAAATTTACTTGATCATATAATTTAGCAAATCTATTACTTAAATTCAATCGATTTGAAGAAGCATTATAATTTTATGACTTTGCAATTTTAAAAAATCCGGAATTTGATGAAGCATGTATTCATAAAGGTAAAATTTACTTGAAATCATATTAGCATTAACATTGAAAAAGTTAAATCGATATGAAGAATTATTATAATTTTATGATCATATTAAATTATTAAAATAGTTAAAGAGGGAACCATTAGAAAATTGAGCCATATTTTTACATTTTTAATATTTGTTTGGATATTTTAAAATTTTTAATTTTGATCTTATAGTTAATTGAATAATATTAAATCTGATAATCGTCATAACTTTAAGATTTCAATCTTATATTAATATATCAATCTCTAAGAACTTTTCGGATTAACCAAGTTTACATTATTATTATGGGTGAGCATTTTTCTTAATGAATAAATATTTTGGATGTAATATCATATCCTCATTTGCGCGTATAATTATTTTCCCTTTTATTAATTTCTTATGGACTTCTTTAAATCTTTTGAAAAATCTACCCATCTATTTTGTCTCTAATTAATTTGAATCATTATTATCAACGAAAAAAAAGTTACCTATTTCCTTTCATTAGTTCTGTGTCGATCTTAAATGCCTTACTGAATTCTAGATTTATATATAAATTAGTAAAATATAATTAGTAAAATGAACTGGAAGAATCAATTTTAATCTGCAATTAATAAATTGAGAATAACAAAGGAAATGCTTGTCCATATATTCTTAAAAGATAATACTATGATTCATATTTAAAGTTAAGACCTGAAATGAATTGAAGGATTTTTCACACTAGTGTTGGGAAAAGTGTTAAGAAAATTGTTTATAGGGTAATGATTACTGAAAATGTATATTTTAATCAATATAATTTTAGATTACTAATAGGATGAAAATGAATATTTATCCTAATAATAATAAGTTTGAGATTGGAAGAATTAATTATGGAATCAATTGAAGAAAGAATAAGGATTCAACAATAAAAGAATTATATATATAATTCATGGGTAGTAAAACAAAATTATCTTAAAGGAGAATATTTAGAGAGAAACAATAAATTAAAAGAATCTATTTAATGTTGGAAAAAAGGAATTGAAATGAACAATCTTAATTCATTTTTTTATTCCAAATTAGGTATTTTAAAATAATATTTTTAAATTTATGTATTTGCATAGAGAAATAAGGTAAAATGGATGAAGTTATAGAATGCTGGAATTATGGAATTTTAAATAATAAGGATAAAAATTCATATTTTAAATGTACTTTTTATGAAGAAAAATGTAAGTGCCTTTATTAAAATTTAGAAAAAGCATTAAATATAACATAATTATTATAGTACAACAACATTAATATTAGCTCGTACATTACTAAAAATCAAATTAAAATATAATTTTAAAAAGATTAAAAAGATATGATGAAGTTAATTTAAGTTGGGATGAAGGAATTAATAGAAAATTTTGAAGATATTACATTTTTTATAAAAAAGGCATATTTTAAAATATAATTTTAGAAAAAATATTAATCTTATTGATAAAAAATATTAATTACATTCAAGGATAGGAAATTTATGGAATTAATTAAATTTTGGAATATAGGAGTTGAAAATAAAAAAACTAATATTTATTTTTACGAAGAGAAAAGTAAATAAAATTACTAACAATTAGACAAGGTTTTATAAAATTTGGTAATTTGAAAGAAGTTCTTGATTGTTGGAATTTTGGAAATAAATATAAGAGTGATAATATACAATTCTATTAAAATAAAGGTAAGGATATTATTAAATCAAACGCTTTTAGCTTAAATCTTAAATATAATTCTTAAAATTCACAGGAATAACATAATAAAGGAAAGGGGAAGAAGTTATTGATTTTTGGAATGAAACAAGTTCTTATGCATTAATTTATTAATTAAAGAAATTTAGAAAAATAAGGAAAACAAAATGAGGTAATTGAATTGTTAAATAAAGGAAATCACCTAAACAATGCCAATTATGTTTATTATTTCTAATAAAGTATTCTATGATTTGTTCTGGAGAAGTCTCCAATATTCCCTTTCGATAAGAAAGAAAAGGAGAGTCAGCAAGAAATTTAGTAAAGACTTAAAAGATTATAGATGTCATTCAAAGTTTATGTAGCAATTCTCAATTAGTAGTGGAGAATATAATCCTATTTAAAAATAATTACAATAAGTATTCTAAGAGCTTTTGGAAAAGAAAATGAAAATGAAGGAATTATACTTAATATTTAAATAAATTTAGTTATCATGACAGAAGGTATTCGGAATTATAAGACTTGAATAATGCTGGATTGTATTTTAATATTTGTCAAGCATACCAATGAGAAAAAAACTAAAAAATATTTATAGAGATTTCAAACTTAACACTTATCCAAAGTCTATTACATCAATATACAAATTATTTCATTCCTAATGTAAAAATAATAATTAGTGAATGGATCAATTATTAAACACCTTCATTAATTTTATGATTTATCAATTTTAAATCATTCCTTATGATCCAAATACTAGATTCCTAAAATCAGATATTCGTAGCAAGTTGTTTTTGTATTTTCTCTTTCAACCCATTTACTAGACAAAAACTATATTGACAAAATCATTGTTATCTTGTAATAAAATTTGATATATGGTTATTCATAAATATTGAATCTCCTCTTCTTCTCTTTTCGTCTTCTAAATACCCACCAAACTCCGTCGCTATAAAAAACCAATTCTGGTAGTATTTTATATACTTGTCTGAAAGAATTTTTTTTTGTTCTATCTTGCCAGTTAAAATTAAATAATAACAAATTTATATCAGTAATAAGACCATACAGGTCAAAATTGAAATGAAAAAGGTTAATTTTCCAGATCCTTTTGTTCATATTAAACAATTTACTTTACTTTTTGTTCTTTGAATCAAAGTATATTCATATAGTTCTAAATGATTATTATTATAAGAATATTTATAATAACTTATTTTAAAACGAATTAATACAATTTCTTGTAAATAAATTGGATATAAAATTTAATTAATCTGTTGAAAAGCAAATTCTAAAAATGCTAATTTTATATAAGAAATTAAAAATGATTTTAGTCATTAAGAATACATATAAGCAAATGAAAAAGTCATGAGTTAATATATCTAAAATCAAAAGAACAAGTGATTAATAATAATAAATTGAACCAGAAAATTATGAGGTTATATTTAGTTTAAAAGTCTTATTAATATTATGAAGCCTTATAATATTATATTATTGTAAAATATATTCTATATATTAATTAGGAGGTTATCTATAAATTTATAATTGAATATTACTGTAAGTTTTTGGAAAATATCATGAAGCTATAAAAATATATAATAAATGTTTATAATAGATCCTAATTATTCTAATTCATATGCTTGGAAAGGTTCAAAAATATTTATAATACTATCTGTCTATTACAGACGAATCTCCTTGTTTTATATTCATATTTTAAAATTCTTTTGGTGGACAAAATCATTATATCATTTCTCTCAAAATAAAGCTGTCACCATAGGTGCAATTCCAAATTCATACGGTTACCATTAAGTATTCATTTTCAATTAAACCTCAGTATATTTATATAATTTTTACATCAAAAAATTTACTGTTCTTCAATTATATATCATTCAACTCATATTTATACTAACATTAGATATGCATGATGTAGGATAGAAATAGGGAATCAGATTAAGCTCTGGAAAAGGGAGGAAGTTAATTGTAAGGAATTGCTCTTAGATGGGCCAAATCAAAATACAAGTTTATTCATTTTTTAAAAATCCCAAAGTAATTACTTCTAGTTCATTAATACATAATCAATATAAGAATAGGAAATCTAGTGTGTAATGAGACATTATCTAAGAAATTTAATTAATTTCTAATGATTAAAGATAAAAAGAACGATACTTTTGAATTTAATTGTCAATGTTAGAAACTAAGTGATATTTTCCTAACTACATCAACGAATTTCAGTATAGTAGACTCTACTAATTAATAAATTGTTAATCTTAATTTTAATTCAAATATTCAAGATGTACTAGTATTAAGAATATGTAAAAGCTTTGTAACACTAATATTTATTATACTTTATATTTATCAATTAAAAGAAGATTGTTAAGATCAGAAAAAAGAATTGTAAACTGAAGAAGGGAATTTTTAAGGGCCATATATTCAAGATAAGAATCTTATTTATTAAGGCATTTACAATCTATGCAAGAATAATGATTTATAGGTTGAAAGCGCGTAGCATATAGAACATGGAACTTAACCTCATCTTTCATTTATTGCATTTTTTTGCCATATGCACAGCATTTTAGAAGATAGTTTTGACGATTTTACAAGAATATGAAAAAGTTAATATATAAATATTATGAAAAATTAATATAATTAAAAAACAAGTTATTAAAGAAAATGTGGGCTTTTCACAATTTCCTCATAAATATTTTTCAAATCTTTTAAAGCAGACTATATTATGATTATATCAAATAATCAATACTTAATCCTTATGCTAACTGTTTGGACGTATTCTAAGTTTAAATGGCCTGTCTCTAAAAAAGTAAATTAAAAGTTGATGTTGGCTGGAAAAAGGGGTTGATTGAAATTATTTCTCTTATATTATTAGCTGGGCTTTGTGCATTAGAAAAGTTTTCTCGTCAGTTACATAATAATAGATAATCTAAACATTTTTCACATTTTTTTATTTTGATTTCGAGTTTTGTTTTTTATATAGAAATAACAATAATATTTTTTGTAACAAAATTTTCTTATACTTCTAGGTTATGTTGCAAGAACCGAGAAATGATTCGCAAAAGGTGTTAATTTAAGATTTTTTTGATTTAAAAAAAAAATCTGAATAAAAATCTTTGGTATTTTGAAAAAGTAAAAATTTTTAAATAATAATTTTTAAATTTTTGATATTTTTATTATTAATCATTCAATTTTTGATTAATTTTTCTTAAATCAAGATTGTTTATTTAATTTTATAGTATTATAATTTTTATCAAATTAAGTTTTTTAAGAAAATTATTTTATTTTTACATAATTAAATATTTAATCATATCAAGTTAATTTGTTAAATATATATTTTTAAAGAACAATTGTTTTTGTTTTAACATAATTTAAAATTTAATTTTATATCATTGTTATTTCTCAGATTATATATTGAATAAACAAAAATATATATTTTTCTTAATTTTTAATTTTATATAAATTAAAAATTTTCAACAAATATATTTTTAATTTTTCATTAAATATAATTAAATACTTAATGATTAAAATTTATTATATTATAATTTTCAAATCTTTTATTTTACTCTTTTTCGGAATTAATATCTTATATTTGATTAAATAGTTGGATAAGAATTTAATCAAGATCTAACGTAGTATATTATTAAAGTTAATTCTTCGAATGTATCTTCTATCAAAGATGGGATTATTCAAAAAATAAAAGAAAAGAGCCCTCATATTTTCTGTATCAATGACAATCAATAAATTACTATCATGTACTCCTTCTTATATATTATACTAAGATATAAGTGAGAATACTAGAATACTATTTCTTGAGGATTGTTTTACATTTAATTTATGTAATGAATTATTACCAGTTCATTCAAAAGATTTCAATTACTTATTAATTCACTTTCTTAATCCTAAATATATACTTTAATAATAATAAAAATTTCATTATTTACTAAAAATAGTTGAAAATTTGGTTTACTGACTTTATTAACAAAATAAAATTAAACTAATAGATTATCATATGATGGACTTTAACACAAAATGTAACCCAATACTACTTTCATTAGAATTAACGCCGTATAATTTTACTACCTTTAAGAGGAAATAATTTAATAGGTCATTATAAAGAAGAACTGACTCCTTTCCAAAAATTCTAGCTAAAATGGGAACTTAATTTATCGGGTTATTGTTTGATTTAAGCTTCTTTATCCTTCTAAACAACATATGACTAGAAATTGTATTTCTATAAATTTAATAAAGTTAAGACTTTACATCTCTTGCCTTAAATTTAATGACTTTACTTGTATGAGTCATTAAATTTAAAATAACTGATTAAATTTTAAAGTAGTCTAGAAAATACAAAACAATCATTCCCAAAGCTAGTACCATTTATCAAATAGATATGTATTTTCGAGAAGTTAGAAGTTTAATATGAAAAAAATAATTCTTAATTCTATAAAATTCCCAAATGGGTAAAAATGTTAAATTTAAACAAAAAGGTAGGTGGAATATTTTCCTTTTATCAAGATGATAATGGTGCATAAAGATACAATTATATCAAACTGTTTGATCCAACTTGGCTAGGTGTTAACTAGATAAGAATATGATCCTAAATTGATGCCAACATTACCTAAATTTACTAAAGGAGAGATTATAGAATTACAGTAGAAAATGTCCTATAATTAAGCTATGGAAAATGATGGTTTTTTGGCTACTTTTATTCGTAAATGCTCTAAATGGTTATTTCAAGATATTTAGAAAAATTAAACACTAGAGCCAATACCTAATTTAAGAAAAGCAAGTTTAATCCCTCTAAGTCTTCCTTAATATTTCAAATAAACAACAGTTTAATTCCTTTTCTTAGTTCTCTATTCAAAATCTTAGAACAAAATTGGATATATACTAAGAAACATTTCAATGTTACAATAATGCTATTTCTATTAATTCTAATAATGATACTTCATAGCACTAAAAGAGAAATTATATTATAATATAGGTCTTGCGCTAATTATCTTCTTTAACCATAAATTATTACTCTAGGTCTACTATATTTAAAAACTGGAAATAAAACAACATTTCAAAATACGAAACAATTTAAGCCAATTATTACTTTTAGATCTATATTTATTCTTTTCTTTTCCGATTCCTGATCTTAAAATGTTGATTGAAATAAGTTTTGATTGTAACCATGAACTTTGTAAGCCAAAATTTGAATTTTCTATTTTGCTTTTAATGGAACTGAAACCAATATTATTAGCATGCAAAATTTCTTATTAATTAAGAAATCAGCCTTCAATTTTATTTTAGAACAACTATAATCAATTTACTACATTTTTCATTTTGAAATCATCCTTTTAATCAATAGTTATTATGGTTTATCTTTTTATCAAGTTAATTAAATGGTTTGAATAGTGTGTATTTTTTAATTTGTCTTTTGGTATCTGCTAGCAGACCAGGCTTCCAAATACTATATTAAATCTTATTCTGGCATTAAAAATCTTGGAGTTTTCTCAAGTATTTCTACCCTTATCGTTACTGGTCACTTCTTATATTTCATATTTTTATCATAGCTATGGATATGAGTTTATTTTTCCTCTTCTTTTTATCCGCTTATATCCCAATTTATCTTTCCTCTCTTCCCTCTTTTTATTTACTTCCTACAGAAGTAATAAGTGTGTTTTTAGTTCCAGAAGCTTCTATCTATTTAGAAAGAGTCGTTTGTAATGTTCTGAAAACAATATATTTAATCTATAATAATATATTCATTCGAACTCTCCTGTGAATTATCCATAATCAATCTATCAGGAATATTAAACTAAACTAAGCTTTGTGTCTTTTCTAAATAATGTTGTCACCAAAAGTCTAACAATTTGGTGGTTCAGACCCCTCTAACTAGTTTGATCATAGCCTTACATCTCTAGAAAGATTAATAGAATCAAAATTTAGAGAGATCATATAAAGAAATCTCTCTTACATCTTAGAACAAATAAATTATCTATCCAATATACTCATCTTTTTTAAGATATTTGGTATGACTTTCAAATATTATTATTTTGGTTTTATATTTTTGTTATTATTTAATGAACTATTTTAAAATGTTGTTAAGAATAATCATTAGAGCAATTAGATCATTTTTATTATCATTTAGTCTCAAAGTCATACTTATTCTCTTAATTTGGTTTGATCAATTAATTATTAATTGAAAAATATATTTTTGACTCTAAAATTAATTGCTTATAAAATAATAATAATGCTGATTCAAATAATAATTATCAGTTTAAACTTATTGGCGAAGATTTATTAGTTTTCAAACCATAAAATATTAAACTATGAATTTAAAGTAGCTAAAAAATTAAACTGCTTTTTATAACTAATTAATGTGGTAGGAAATAAACCAAAAATCTTATAAGATTTATATAATTTTTTCTCATAATTATTTGAAATGAAAACATTAATAATATTATAGCTAATTGTACTCTCATATAACTAGTTATTTAGTTCTTCTCTATTATTAATTACTAATTATATTACGTGTAAATTATTCTTAATAAATGATAATATTTATAATAAAATTAATTCTATTTAGATTTTATTTTAATCAAGTTGGAATCAAAAAAAGTTTAGGTTAGAAGTTAATCGAACATCTTATTGAGTAATTTGAATGAAAAAGAATACTTTAATATATAAATTATAAATAGAAAATCATCAAGGCTATGATTATAAATATTTCAAATAATGCAAATTAATTGAATATCTATTTATTCAAAATTAATATAAACAAAATTAATTTTATATAAATCTTAATATTTTCTAACTAATTTTTGCTAACAAGCATGAAATATGATCTAAAAATTCTTGATCATCTAGATAATAAAATTTGTCGGTGTTTAGTTTTATTTTTGAAATTATCATTCATTTTCATTAGTATTATCATTAATTTAAATCAAGATAGAATCAATTTTCGAATTATTTTCCAATAATCTATTTGAATATTAGTGTAGAATATATTAATCTATTGATAGAATCTTATCAAATTTGTATGTAAAAATAAGTAAATTTTTAAAGCCATTCAGTTTAGAAATAATAACAATTAATAATGTTATAGTTAAATTTCGAAAAAAAGATTCATGAAATTTTTAAAGGGAAGCCAAAGTAGATAACATTTCATGAGAACTAAATTTATTTCATAAATTATGCCTTATGAGGGAATTTATTTAAAATTACTTTATTTATATTTGTTCTCCACTCATTATGAAAGGATTAGTTTATTCTAATTCTAAATTAACTAATTTTTGAATGTATAAGAGTTCTCTTAAAATTTTTTGAAAATTGTGAATACTTTCAATAAATGTTAAGTCTGTTGATTGTTCAATCTTTTTTCCAAATTAACCAACTATTCTTATTAGACCAGTTAATAACAGATAATCTTTTAAGGAATTCAAAAACTTTGTCTTGTGTATTAAAATTGTTAACTGTTTTTATTAAAATTATTAAGTGAAAAAACCTTTTCATTATAATTAAATCCATAACTTCGCTAATAAGGTTTAAATTTAAGAAATAATCGCATAAATATAGAGTCAATAGATGGTAAGAAAAATAATCAGCCTTTAAAAATTTCAACTTTTTGTAATATAAATGCTACAAATCAACTTTTTAGTTCAGACTTATTCATAAATACCATTACAAAATTATTTTATTTATTAACTTGTATAAGTGATAGTTCAACTAGTAAATTAATTATTATTAAAGGTTGGACTATTAAAATTTAATTGAAGCTAATTAAATATTTATATTAGAAAAATTAAGAACTACTTACTTCTCATATGCAAAGAAATCAAAGCATAATAAGTTTGTATATTTTCTAGTATTTTATTTAAGGTATTAATCTAATGAGTTTACTGATAGTATAATGCCTTAATAGAATATTAATATTCAAAGAAGAAGTTCACTTAATGAATCAATATAATCAAATTAAATTTTATTTGATCTTTTATAATAATCATCATTTATGTTGTTATAATAAAAAAATATTATTGTTATATTAATTTATTGAATCATTCAAATTTAAGAAATTTCTTCAAAATTAATGCCTTGTTTATAATTAATTATTTCCTTTAGTTCTTTTCTTTTTACACTCTTCCTAAGTTTTTGTCTAATCACCACAAAAATTAGTGTATATTTTTTATATTTAATTATGACATATATCCCATTTAAAATTAAGAGTATTCTCCTTAAGTATAATATATTTTTATATATAAATTAAAAAGAATGGTAAATTTAACATTATTGAATTGTTTTTAATTTCATCATAATCAAAATCAAACTGTAAAAAATAATGTATTTTAAGAAAAATAATGATATTATGATTGTTATTTTTCGAAGGAAAATAATTATGTTAGTCAATAAGTGATCAAATTACAAATAAAAAACATTAGCTAAAAGATTTGCATATGCTTATTAAATTTTTCAAATGAGTATGACAACAATAATGAAAATTTCTTTAAGAAATAATTTTTAAAAGCAATTTCGTTTGATTTATAAATCTTATTTATGTGCCAATGTAATCAAAAAGATAGTTAGGAGCAGCATTAGTGAGTTAAAAGAAAAAAATCGAAGCACTCAAAACATCATAATAATACAATTAAGTTAATTTGAAGACCTAGAATAATAAATATACGAATAATTAGTAGCTTCTTGTCAATCATCATAAGTTATATCAAAAATAAAATTAAAGATTAAACCATGAAATAAAAATGCTAGTAAAGTAACTATTTAATTATTAGATTTAGATATGATAGCTACCAAATTATATTTAAGAAAAAGAATATAGAAAATTTAAATTAAAATTATGGAGCATTTTCTAATGAAATCCAGTAATAAGGAAAAAGAAGTAATTATTTAAAAATCACAACGCAAATTTGGTTATTAAACTTTAGATATTCAAATCTTATTCCTAATAAGAATTAGATTAAATTAGAATTATGAGAAAATCAAGCCTAATGTACATGTTTTTTATATTAAACTACCCCCTTAATATTAAAAATTTTATAATCAGTATTTTTAACATTCAATAAAATATTTTAAAATATAAACCTTTTTTCAAAAAGTACCTGGTTTAGGTTCTTTATTTTTTTTTAAACCTATTATATATGGTACAACTTAGTTTTAACTAACCTAATTACATATGTAAGTTAATTTAGCTTTAAAAGTGTCAATTTTATTTATTATTTTTTCTATTCTTGATAAAAATACAAAAGAAAACCCACTCTATGAAATTATTAAGATGAGAATATTTGGAAAATTAGAAAGGAGATTATGCAACAAAGACTTCAAAAGCAATTTTTAAGAAAGCATTCTACCGAAAAATTTTGATGAAATTAAAAAGATTAATTGCTAATGATTGAAGATCTTGAATATATTTTGATTTAAATTAAATTTGAATTGTATTTATTATAACTTTATTAATTTCAATCTAATTCCTCTTTTTAATTGCAATTAGAAAAATTCCTCATATATTATTTTTATCCTCCGATATCTTTATTCACTATCTTATTGCTCTCTTTCCTTATAAAAGTATCATTATTGTATACTAATATTTAAATAAATTTTAGCAAACATCCAGACTTATATCAAACAAAAAATAATTCATCTAATATTAATAAAATTTGGATTTTATCATCATTCTAAAATATTGGAAGCCTTTTTTAATTGTTGACAATGTTCCTGCCTATTATTCTCACTTCAAATTTTCACATCTTATATTTATGATAGTTAGCTCTTTATTGGAATGAGTTTGATAGTATTTTAACTCAACCTATTGATTCTAATTTGATGCATATGCAAGACTTGATGTTCCAACTAAATATAAATAGATTTGTCAATACATTTCTTCATATAATCCTATCTAATCATTTAAAGGAGATCTTGCCAATTATTGAAAAATAATGGCGAGGTATATTGTTATTGTTAACAATGTCAATAAAATTTTATAATTTTGTCATATCATACGATATAAACTATACTGAATTTTGAAATAAATGATAATTGGAAGGAAAAAAGTTTTTTGTAAATTTTTATTCCTTTTGATAGTGGCTGAATTTATATTAATTTTTAATTTTTTCTAGTAATCTTGGCTATTTAATAAATCACAAAAAGGAATCACAGTATTGCAACTTCTAGATTAAAAAGTTATTCTCTTTTTCATTTGAGATTTTTATTCGCTAAAATTCCTTTTACAAATAAATTTTAATATAAAATATAATCCTTCGAATATAGTTTATTCTTTATAAATCTATTTAATTAAATTGATACCGTTCCCTTTAATCAAAAGCCTAACTCATTTTATATACGCTTATCATTTTTGAAATTTGAGTGTATTATTGCAAAAATATCAATAAAATTAACTTAATAATGAATAATATAAAAAATTCATAATAACTTGAGAAAAAATAGATGATAATCTTATTAACCTCTGTAATCAACATTTATGCTTAAAATATTTCAGTGCTTGAATATTCATTGTACCCTACAGAAGGAGAATTTTATCAATACGATCTGTTTTATGTTCTATCCTATACTTAATTAATATGTAAAATGGATCATTAAGTCCCAAATGTTTAATTAATCAATTCATGTGAGGAAATATTTAGAACAAAAGGGGATTGTAAAATATTAGGAATATATTTATAGAATTTATTTCAGTGTCGTCAAATAATACACATTTTTGCACTCTATCAAATTAAAACATTGTAACCCTGTATGAATGGAAGAATTAGAAGATTCAATAATTTGGTTCAACAGTGACAATTAATACTTTATTTAAATGTTTTAACATCATTTTATCTTAACATTTTTCAATTTTGGTCGATTGTTATTTGAACGATGAACTCTTTTTAATTCAATTACAAGATGAATAATAGCAAATTGTTTTTTCAATGTAATCATCTCTACCTACTTCAACTAAAATTTAATCAATTATGATGGGAACAAATGCTTTTTTAGTATATGCTTAATATTTTGAAAATTATTCGATTCTTTCGCTATTCACATAATAATTTTTAAATTCAAGTAGTTTACAAGACTAATTTATCGATTTTGATATTCCATTAACAATAAGCCCGAATATATATGTAATTACTGGAGAAATGATATTTTAATTAACCATAACATAAGATTAGAAATTTTATCAAAAAAGTAATTTTACTTAGAAAGGTATGAGTAATTTTATTATGATTAATGCTTATTACAATTATTGGAGTTACGCTTAATGTGATCAGATAGTGTTGTTGTATTTCCAATACACTTCTAACTTATCAGATTAAATGATGGCCCAATTATTGGGATGCGAAGGATAAATAATCAAGATAGATGATCGTCTTCCATTTAATTAACGTCAATCTGTTAAGAAGATAATATAAAATAACTAATTTCTAATATATATTACAAATAATGAAAGTGTTATAAAGTCAAAATCATAGTCAGAAGGACTTATCTATAGTTTTTATCAAATAAATTAAAGCAATTCTCTATTATATCTAAATGATGATAATGAGTTATTTTAATTTAACTAGGAAATATTTATTTATAAAATTTCCCTCCCATCCATTTAAATCAACTTAACAAAGAAAGAAATTTCAAATAAGAGATATTACAATTTTACTTTCCTCTGCTCACATTCTACTATTTTTACTCTGTTTAAAATTTAAATGAAAATATTATTGATGAATGACACAAATGTTTATGTAATGTCAAATAGTAAGTTTTAAGATTCTGAATTTTATTAAAATGCTACTTTTAAATAATAAATTGCAGAATTTTCGGGATAATTACTAAATTACAAGTTAAGTAAGAATGAGACTTATTTTAATTTTATTTAAGTGACATTTTTTAATGCTGGTCGAATTAATTAGACTTACTAATTAGTTTAATTTTTGGCAATAAAATATGCTAAAGTAGAAGAATAATATTTAATTGGATATAATAATTGTTAAATAGATATTTTGACTTGCAGTAACTAATCATATATCTTGTGTACTCAATAAAATTCAATTAATATCTCTGTAAATGCGAGTTCTTTATAAGCTTCTTTTAGCATTTATCCAACAATTGTGACTATTGGACTCAATGCTTATGATAAAATCTATTTGTTTTAATACTACTAAGATAATCAAAGTTTAATTAGTTATTCAAATTACACTTGTGAAAATGAGATATCGGAATTTGTCTTAACTTATAATAGTCTTATAATTCTATTTAAAAAAAAAAAAGAAATTAAAGTTATGAAATTTAATTTTAGAAACATCTTTACTTTAAAATAATAATCAATAAATTAATTCTTCAATAAGATTCAATTCAACCCTATATAAATTGTTGTGAATACATAATTATAATCATCTTTATTATATATCAACAATATTAATGAAGTCATCATAATTTCAATTGATTAAAACAACTTTCCAATACCAATTTCTTTGGTTCAAATTAATTTCATAATAAAATAAATAAATTTGATAAATTAATAATTAATTTTATCTTATTTATGTAATAAAGACTAAAATATTTGCTTTTAAGTTTGGAACGTTTAGAATTTACCCATATATTATTATGTTAAGAGTTTATATAGAGAAAATGTAGAAAAAGAAGTAAAAATATAATCTGATAACCTGTTTTTATATGTTACTTTTAGAAATTATACAGTTTATGTTTATAATCCTTCCTTACCATATCACATGAGTTTATATTATAAGTTTGAATTAACTTCACCGATTTAATTTAGCTTTTAATAAGATTTACTTGAAAAACATTCAATAATAATTTCTAATAACAATTTTTATATTCTTCATGGAGATTCACAATTGATTCTAATGTATGAATATTAAAATCAAGACTTTAATAATACGATAAGTTATCCATAATTTACTTATAATTATACCGTAACATCAGCATTGAATATCTCAGCCTTTTAGTATACTCCCAATTAAACTGTTACTTTTTACTCAAACTTTACCATATTTTAAAATGAAAGGAATTTATCAAAAAATTTATCTAATAATAACTTAATTCCTAAGTCTAAAAATTTATCTTACCCAATGAATTTAATTCTTGATAGATAAGTGGCATATTGTGGATCTACAAATCCGAACCAAACTTAGAATTTAAACTAATATTGTAGTTTAACTTAGTTTTCTCCTTAATCTAGTAGCATTTATATTATTCAAAATTACTCTTTAATTACTGCTATCAATAACTAATTTTTTGCTTTGCAAAATAACTCTTTCATTTAAACTGTAAATAGTGACTTAACTAATAAATTTAATTTTAATTATTCATATCTAAATTTGAGTGAATGTTTACACTCAACATCATATATTTACTCATTATATACAATTTGTTAAAATAATTAGTCATAATATTTACTTAATTTCTAATTAAATTTTGAAGGTGATATAGTAAATCTAAATATTACATAACTTCCCTAAACTTTTTATTATATTTACAAAATTAGAAGCATTTTAAACTAAATTTTTATATTAGGTTCTTTAGAATTTTAACAATAATAATTATACTGGCTTAACTAATTCAACAATACCTTATAAAGTATATCAAATCTAATTAATGATTTCTCCATAGGATAAATACAACAAAGTGAATTTAGTAAATCACAATAAATAATTATTTTCTATATCACCTATTCAGTATCTTATACAATTATGACAATTGATGAGTAAGGCGTAAATTTATTAAATCCTGTTTATGTTAACATTGTTTTTTGCTATTAAGATTTAAGTTGTTATTATTATTCATCATAATTGAATTACGTTTTAATTTTAGAAATATATTCTAATTATGCAATCATATTTGTGAGTAATATTTATTAGGGCTACGTTGTTTAGCTAAAATTTTCATTATAAAATACCAAGTCTTCTAATGGCATATTTGTTGGAAGTATTCCAAATTATAGCAATTTAAATAATACTGGTTATTCTTTTTATTAAAATGAGGTTTTGATGTAACAATTTACATAAGGCAATTAAAATTAATTTATAGTGGGAGTTTACTATTTCAATAATATTAAAGATGAAAATTTATCAGAACCAACTTTGATGTAAGGTTCATTTAATACGACAATGTATGCTTATGCAATGATTGTGGAATCAAAATATCAAAAAGGAACTGCCTTATACATTTATAATAATAATTTATCTAATTACTCAATAAGTACTTGGAATGTAACCTGTCATTTAAGAGGAAATTAAAATAAAGAAGTTAATGTTTCTATATTTTGTTCAAACTTATTTTCAAATGGTACTTATAACATAATATTCAAACCTCCTTAATAGGAAAAATCATCTAGAAGGTGGATATATGCTCTGATTTCGCTAATTACCTTGCTTTTATTGTATTTTTACATTAAAGTTAAATAAAAGACAAAAAATGAATAATTTAACACATTCTAAATTGAATTATGATATTTGGATCTGAAAACTATTTTAAATATAATTTTATATAATTACATATGTTAATACTAAATATTTTACTTAAAAAATAAATAAATTAAAATTACTACATAAAGCCTATGATATGTTACCAAATAAATGGAGCAAAAATTACAAAAAAATAAGTACTTATACTAATAATAATCATCAAAGTAAATATATTATGATATCTCTCTCTTTTTGCTCCCTTCATAATATGATCTTAAGACATGATTTAACTAAATTAAGATAAAAATAAAATAAAAACATAAACTTCTAACTATCATTTATTTTATTATAGTCACAATTTTTTATTAACTTTAAGGTCTTTTTAATAAATCTAATTCTGCCTCAGTTAAAATTAATTTTATTAACAAACCTGATATGAATGATTTAATTCCTTAAATTTAGTTCTCCAAATTTTTGCTTCTTCTTAATAAGTCTTAACAGATTAACTTGTTTTTCTTCAGTTAATGTTTTTATGTGTTAACGAAGTTCTTCAATTTCTTTTTCTAGACCCTCTATATGTTAATCTTTATCATCACATTAGGCTTTATAAAATTATTTTTATTATCTTAATGCATCTAATTCTTATCTCAAATCATTATTATCATTATTAAGCTATTTAATTTGCATATTTAAAGTTTATATATTCAATTCAAATTCTATTTACATATCAGAAATTGCTTTATCTTTTTCTTCAATATCAAATCTAACTCTATAAATTCATACTATAATTGTTTTATTAAAGCATCTCTTTTATAATTATTAAACTATTCTAAGGATATTATTGACAAGAAAAAGATCTCTAAGTCTAGAGTTAGAATACATATATACTAAAGGTTAATTAATTGGTGATTATTATCCTCCATATGGATTGCCATAAGATTGAGGGTTTTGGTTCATTTTAATTAGAATATCCATTAATTTAAGGTAATTTGTCACTATTTAAAGTATTAAGCACAATAAATCAATTAATTTATTAAGAAGTTAAACATAAATACATAAATAAATATATTTTATTTTATAAAATTCAATCCATTAAATTTGATGTCCATTTAATACATAAGCTGAAAGAAATTCATTGTATTTATTAACACCAGAAGAATTTGAATAGGAAAGAGAAAAGGGAGTGATGTTTGGATTGCTCACACTCCATGGACAAGTTAATAGAATATACTAAGACTTTATAAATACTATTAATTCTCTGATCCAAATTCTAAGGATGATTTCTATGTTTTACCAGATAATAATATGGTAGAAATAGAAACTACAAATTCTATTTTAGATAGCAAACTCTATGATTTTATAGTACCAACTACTCTCTTACTTGGTAAAGAGTTTCTATAGCTTATGCAATTTCAAAAGGAGGAGAAAAATGGACTAACACATTTATTAGACATAACTAAAAGATTTTTAAAAGTAATTAACAATATTAATTTAAANTATCTGGATCTGAAAACTATTTTAAATATAATTTTATATAATTACATATGTTAATACTAAATATTTTACTTAAAAAATAAATAAATTAAAATTACTACATAAAGCCTATGATATGTTACCAAATAAATGGAGCAAAAATTACAAAAAAATAAGTACTTATACTAATAATAATCATCAAAGTAAATATATTATGATATCTCTCTCTTTTTGCTCCCTTCATAATATGATCTTAAGACATGATTTAACTAAATTAAGATAAAAATAAAATAAAAACATAAACTTCTAACTATCATTTATTTTATTATAGTCACAATTTTTTATTAACTTTAAGGTCTTTTTAATAAATCTAATTCTGCCTCAGTTAAAATTAATTTTATTAACAAACCTGATATGAATGATTTAATTCCTTAAATTTAGTTCTCCAAATTTTTGCTTCTTCTTAATAAGTCTTAACAGATTAACTTGTTTTTCTTCAGTTAATGTTTTTATGTGTTAACGAAGTTCTTCAATTTCTTTTTCTAGACCCTCTATATGTTAATCTTTATCATCACATTAGGCTTTATAAAATTATTTTTATTATCTTAATGCATCTAATTCTTATCTCAAATCATTATTATCATTATTAAGCTATTTAATTTGCATATTTAAAGTTTATATATTCAATTCAAATTCTATTTACATATCAGAAATTGCTTTATCTTTTTCTTCAATATCAAATCTAACTCTATAAATTCATACTATAATTGTTTTATTAAAGCATCTCTTTTATAATTATTAAACTATTCTAAGGATATTATTGACAAGAAAAAGATCTCTAAGTCTAGAGTTAGAATACATATATACTAAAGGTTAATTAATTGGTGATTATTATCCTCCATATGGATTGCCATAAGATTGAGGGTTTTGGTTCATTTTAATTAGAATATCCATTAATTTAAGGTAATTTGTCACTATTTAAAGTATTAAGCACAATAAATCAATTAATTTATTAAGAAGTTAAACATAAATACATAAATAAATATATTTTATTTTATAAAATTCAATCCATTAAATTTGATGTCCATTTAATACATAAGCTGAAAGAAATTCATTGTATTTATTAACACCAGAAGAATTTGAATAGGAAAGAGAAAAGGGAGTGATGTTTGGATTGCTCACACTCCATGGACAAGTTAATAGAATATACTAAGACTTTATAAATACTATTAATTCTCTGATCCAAATTCTAAGGATGATTTCTATGTTTTACCAGATAATAATATGGTAGAAATAGAAACTACAAATTCTATTTTAGATAGCAAACTCTATGATTTTATAGTACCAACTACTCTCTTACTTGGTAAAGAGTTTCTATAGCTTATGCAATTTCAAAAGGAGGAGAAAAATGGACTAACACATTTATTAGACATAACTAAAAGATTTTTAAAAGTAATTAACAATATTAATTTAAAAAAATCCAAGAGCTCATGGAAAATTGAAGGAAGAAGTTGCATGATTAATAGCCAATATTTAATGAGAAGTAAAGGAACAAAAAAGTTGACAAAAAATTCATAATGTAATAAATAAATAATTAATTAATTTTTTTTTAATAATTGTAATTCTATAAATAAATTAATTTTTAGTAGAATTAAACATATATTTAAAAAAAAAATGAATTATTTAATACACTGCTATTTTCTTAATGGATTAAAATTAATAGCAGTTATTATTGAAAATGAAGCCGCTTAAGATTAGCTGGAACCTATATTCTAAGACATAAAAGATGAACTACTTAGAGAAAACGAGGATATCTTAAATGAATTAGATCCAATACTTGAAACCTTGGAACTTGAAGATAAGCTGACTCCTTGAAATATATCAAAAAGGTGCTTCCAAATTATTCTTTTTGGAAATCTAAATAATATTAATTTGAAGAAATATTTGAGGTTTAAGAAATTAAGAACCAGAACCCCATAATAGATTATAAAAATATGTATAAGGAAATAAAAAATACCAAAATGATTAGAAAAATTAGACAAATTTTATCAATCTTCTTAAAAATAAAGTTTTTTGTAATCAAAATAATATTCCTGAATGCTTTAGAACAAAGAGATTTTAGGAATTTACTACAAATTATAAGATTAATTATTTTCATTATTTGAATTAAATGAGTTGTCATTCTTAAAATCAATAGTCTCAAGATATAATCAAATATCTTCTTTAAATTTTATAAGTTTAAAATGCACTCACAGAAATAGAATTAAATTATTTAGAATAAACAATTGGAAACCTTTCAAGTCCTAAAATATTTAAATTTTAAGAATCAGCTTTAAATGATAATACTTAATATGTTGCTTCTGTTATATAAAATATATAATTACAAAATAACAGTTTAGATGATATTATCAAAGATGAAAAATTAAATCAAAAGCAATAATAATACATAAAATTTTTATGTTTATAGAAGATAAGAAATTCTAAAACTGATTTGTATAAAAACTTATGTGATTTATTGTAAATGAAAATAAATTAATTTTAATAGAAAGAAATAATAAAGGAAAGTATGAAGTATTTAAAGCTAAAAGTGAAAATTCGAAAAATATTCTATAAAACAATTAAGAAGATTTCGATGTCACTTAAGTACAAATTTTAAATCTTTCAATAACTAATATTCTTGATCTATTCTAAACCAATAATGAATCATATTTTTATCATATTATATTTTAATGAGGAAGATTGATAAATGAAAATTATTATTTATTGAGATATTTAGAGAAGAAAAGTAAACTTTTTAAATGGTTTTAAAAAATTTAGAAAATTGTGATAAATTTAATTGGAAGGTAATATAAAATAGACGAAAATTAATTATAAATACATAGAATTTCTTATTACATATTTAAAAATTTTAAACTATCAGAATTAATTGAGAAGATTAACCCAATCGTAATTGACAAATAATAAATAAATAGATAGCTTAACCTAAACTTTAGATTTTCTAAGCAATATAAATTAAAGAGAATTGAAAATCATAACAATATTGAATTGTAATGAAAAATTAACATTAATATGCTCTAATAATATAATTTTAAAAATAATACCAACTATAAATCTAAAAGGAATTTAAANAAATTAAGAACCAGAACCCCATAATAGATTATAAAAATATGTATAAGGAAATAAAAAATACCAAAATGATTAGAAAAATTAGACAAATTTTATCAATCTTCTTAAAAATAAAGTTTTTTGTAATCAAAATAATATTCCTGAATGCTTTAGAACAAAGAGATTTTAGGAATTTACTACAAATTATAAGATTAATTATTTTCATTATTTGAATTAAATGAGTTGTCATTCTTAAAATCAATAGTCTCAAGATATAATCAAATATCTTCTTTAAATTTTATAAGTTTAAAATGCACTCACAGAAATAGAATTAAATTATTTAGAATAAACAATTGGAAACCTTTCAAGTCCTAAAATATTTAAATTTTAAGAATCAGCTTTAAATGATAATACTTAATATGTTGCTTCTGTTATATAAAATATATAATTACAAAATAACAGTTTAGATGATATTATCAAAGATGAAAAATTAAATCAAAAGCAATAATAATACATAAAATTTTTATGTTTATAGAAGATAAGAAATTCTAAAACTGATTTGTATAAAAACTTATGTGATTTATTGTAAATGAAAATAAATTAATTTTAATAGAAAGAAATAATAAAGGAAAGTATGAAGTATTTAAAGCTAAAAGTGAAAATTCGAAAAATATTCTATAAAACAATTAAGAAGATTTCGATGTCACTTAAGTACAAATTTTAAATCTTTCAATAACTAATATTCTTGATCTATTCTAAACCAATAATGAATCATATTTTTATCATATTATATTTTAATGAGGAAGATTGATAAATGAAAATTATTATTTATTGAGATATTTAGAGAAGAAAAGTAAACTTTTTAAATGGTTTTAAAAAATTTAGAAAATTGTGATAAATTTAATTGGAAGGTAATATAAAATAGACGAAAATTAATTATAAATACATAGAATTTCTTATTACATATTTAAAAATTTTAAACTATCAGAATTAATTGAGAAGATTAACCCAATCGTAATTGACAAATAATAAATAAATAGATAGCTTAACCTAAACTTTAGATTTTCTAAGCAATATAAATTAAAGAGAATTGAAAATCATAACAATATTGAATTGTAATGAAAAATTAACATTAATATGCTCTAATAATATAATTTTAAAAATAATACCAACTATAAATCTAAAAGGAATTTAAATAGAAAATTATTTTAAAATATGTAAAAGTGATGAGGATTAAAACACTCAAACTTTAAAAAATTAATTAAACAAATACTTTAATTAAGTTTTTTTAAGATAGATTATTGTAAGCAATTATGTAACAGAATACAAAACATATCACATGTCTACTTTATAAACCTTTAGAGAAGCATTATGTAAATTATTTTTCTTGTTTTAAAAATGTAATAATCAATAATTAGAATTTAAATTCATTACTTTCATGTAAATTTTATGATTAGGATCTCATTCGTCAAGAAATGTCTAATAAAACACCAATTTAATTTATACTAAAAATGCTTTTAACTTAGTTTATGTACTTAGAAAAATTGCTGTTACATTTGAAGAATCAATTGTATATCAGTAATCTTTAAACTTACATAAGTTTTGTGAAAGTTTATCTAAATCAAATCCATAACTTTATGGATGGTTAAGTGGAAAAAATTATTATGATGAATTTAGATTATCTCCAAACTATTTTTTCAAATTGAAATAATATTAAATCATTCCAAAAGGAATAAATATCAGTTTACAAGATTTTAATATTTCTTTATCAGAGATTTCAGATTAAGATTAAATTAATTTAAACTTGTGTATACAATATGGATGATTAATTAAAGTTTAAATAATTAATTCCTTTTTTTTTTCATATAATTAAGAGGGGGGGGGGGGGGAAGACGCAACGAAATTTATATAATTAATTAATAAACAATTAGAATTAACATAATCTTAAGAATTTAAAAATAGGTTGAATATGAAAGCTTTGTTTTAAATTTTTACAATAACAGAGACTATGAATTATAAGTAATGCTTTTAAAATTTAAAAGCAAAATTTATCCAGTTCCATTAATATTTTAAAATTAAGATTTAAGTTATATAAAAAATTAAGAAGAACTCTTATGCTTCACGAAAAATTGTAGTACATTTTTCCAGAATGCTTTCCAATTTTAAATATTTGTTTCAGTGAAAATTAAACAACAATAGGGAAAACTGAATTAATCAACAAAATTTTTTATTAAGCAGTAAATTTGAAACCTTAGACATGTGTGAAATAAATAAAAACACAATTGACATTATGTTTGACTTTAGTGTTAGGAGTTCTAGATAATTTTGCATAGCAGATACTCATGAATTTAGTCCGAGTAACATTTTAAGAAAATTAGTTCCATTATTTAAAATTTAGATTATTTAATTAGATTCAGAAAATGAATTGCCAGACAGATTAAATAAAATATATGAAATTTTTTAGCTCTTTTAAAAACAGGAAATTCCAGAATTGTGTTTAGTTATTAGAAATTCAATAAACACAACAGAAAATATAAAGGATGATACAATAGAAATCCTAATTAAAATACAATAGAAAATGGTTTGGAAAATTTTTTAAATAATTTAATTGATTTAAGACAAAAAATACTAGTAAAATATCTTTAAAAACTGCAATCGAACAATTTCAACAATGTATTTTTGAAATTATATTGATCGTCTAAAATAAAGATAAAGGTAAAGATAAAAAATAAAATATCAATCAAAATGATTATCTGAAAATCATAACAAGCTTCAATTCTTCTACTTAATAATTTTCAGAATAAGTTGAAGATGATGGAAATATCATGGCTAATTTGGAAGTTGAACTAAAAAATCAAATAAAAACAGAAAATAGATTTTATTTTATTACTTCATTTCCCTTACGTTCAATTAATTGGTAAATAATTAATTATAAAGAAGAATTAGATTAATTGATCTCATTAAAAGATGAGAAATATAACAATTGCATTTAAAAAATTAATTATAGGATAAAAAAATTAGAAGAACAAATTAAAAACATAAAAATATGGAAATATTTAAAAATCTATAAATAAAAAAGGAAAATTCAATTTCAAAAAAATTCTAGTTAAAAATGAAAATCGACTTAAGTAACATACATGAAATAGAAGATTGTAAAATGATAATTTTTAATGAAATCAAATATTAAGAAACCCAAACTAAATAAAATAACAGATTTTTATAAATTGATAATTATATATCTAATATTAGTGAAAATACTAAAGAATTAAAATAATTATAACAAAATGATGAATAAATTCTAAAAATTTTGAAAAAAGTTGGTTAGAAATAATAATAATAAGATGAAATAGATGGAAGAGATATTTTAAGAGTTTTCGTTAAAGTAGTATAAAATAATATCGGAATCATTTAGTGCATATAAACTTAAATCAGAGATGGTTAAAATTTATAGAGTTTTTTTATTGATAATATTAATAAACATTCGCCTTTCGAAGATTAATAAAATGAATAAAAATAAATTTTTGGTACTTTTAAAGCTGAATTATAATGTTGATAATTTGATCTACTTGATGGAAATAAAAATATAAATATCTATGTAGATATATTCGGTTAACCCATTGGCGATAAATTGCAATAAGGCTTCAGATTTAAGTACAAATAATTATTATTATTAAATGGAACTTGAATTTTGGTACATCACAAATATAGATAGATCTATCATAATATTTGAAATAAGGAATTAAACATTCTGATGGGAAATTTCATGGATTTTAAGTAGATTTTATGAATCTTTTCGATACTTTTAAATAAGACAATATAAAAAAGAAGGAGAGTGGATAAATTAATTATGGTGGATAAACTAGTTCTGGTGGATGAACTAATTATGGTGGATAAAATCATTATGGTGTTTTATCACAATTCTTCACTATTTTGTTTTTATTTAATATTTCATACAATGAAAAATGTTATAAAGATTTACTTCAAAGTATTTAAGATATTCCTAGCTTTGTTTCCAATTTTTAAGTCTTATCAAGAAACAGTTGTTGAAGCTATGAAAAAATTAATAGATACATTAAATATTAGCTCTGAGAAAATAGTTTGCAAAGATTAGTCTATACTTTAAAATATTAGCAAATATTATCCATATTTAAATAAATTGATATAGTACAAAAAGTAAAATTTCAAAAAACCTCTAATCCTGCTAAAATTTTCTTTAAAGTTATAATGGTTAAATAATAGCTAAATATAAATAACTATTCGTTCCTTTAGAAGAAACTAATTATTATTTATATTAAATTGCAAGCTAAACTAATTTTAATAGATAATATTTTATCAAAATTATTTAATGAATATGAGATCAAATCAAAATAAATCACAAATATTAAACAATAAAAAAAATGACAGCCATGATGAAAATTAGCTCATCAAATATTAATTTAATATAAATGATTATGTCTGAATATAATTAACGGTAATCTAATATAACAAATAATTTGCAAAATTTTTAATCTTATTAAATCAAACTGGAGAAAGATGTATTTACTATTATTCAATGTTTCTATTTTCAAGATTCTCTTGCTATAATAAATGGAAAATGTTAAAGAAAAACAATATTAAATTATAAGATCTTAAACCTAAACAATAAGATAAATAAAAAGCAGCAATCAAATAGAATAAGGTTGAATAAAGTTAAATAAAGGCTAGTTTATTTGCAAGTACAATATATTCATCATTTATTGAAGAATATTATAAAAAGAAAAGATGTGATGCTACAGCCTTTATTTCGACTAAAGATGAAAAATGCTAAGATATAATTAAAGAATATGATTAAAAATTGTTAGAAAATGATTAAAGTACTATTACTGATTATAAAAAATTTATTGAGGATTATGCTAATAAAACAATACTAAATATCAAAGATTTAATTACTAAAGATCATTAAGATAAATTAAAATAAGACTTACAAAATTATTTATATGTTACTTAATAAAAAATTCATTCTATCTCTTTATAATTGCAAACTTAGTAAAAAGAAGGATTAAAAACCAGAGAATATTTTGAAACATCAGTCGACAAAAATGCAGATCTTGAATTTGAGAAATGTTTAAAATTGTAAAAGACTGTATTTTCAAAGAAAAAAGCTAATACGGAAATTCAATTCAGCCTATTTATAAGGCATATTTTTAAGAGGACCTATCCAAAGATCTTCCTACTAAAATAAATATTACATTGCTGTCACCTACAGATAAAGAAATTTAAACATTAAAGCCCTATATATTAGAACTATTAAAGTCAATTACACAATAACTCGATCAATGGAAAAATGAAAAACTTAATATATCTAATTTTCAAATACAGAATAATCTTGATAAGATTACATTAATATGATTGGATGTAAAGAATCTTGTCCATTATGTAAAAGAAAATGCGATAAACCTAATGATAATAATCATAAACATGAATGATACAAAGGACATTAATTAAGAGGTAAATTCTATTTAATATTTAGGTATGAATTTTGTTTGATTGACGATAAACTTCCATTATTTACTTGTGAAGAAATTACTGAAATTTAAATAACCACTCATGAAATAAATAAAGTTAGAAATTGGAAAGAGATTGAAACCATTTTTTAAAATGATTAAAATCGTGAAAAATAAGTAAAACAAAAAATGATGAATGTTTGGAATGGAGGTATTGGTTAATTGATTTGTAATGTTATGTTAGAGAAATTAGGAAAATAAATAGCTTTTAAAAGAAATTATGATTTAGCTAAATATGATTATGATAGATCAAAAGTCCATTGTATTTTTATGCTAGATAATTCTGGTGTTATGGGCGTCAAGCATAGACTAATGCAAAGAATGGAGCTGTAACATATACAGAAGAAATTGAAAAGAATCCAAATGCAAAAGTAAGTGTTATCATTTTCTATTCTTATGCAATAGATTGTGAAAAGTTGATATTCATAATTAAATTAATAAAATAGAATTCAAAAACGGAGGTACTAAGTTTGAAAGAGCATTTTAATTGGTTTATGATTAGATTAATTAATATTAAAATTAGAATTTTCAAAGATAATTAAATTTTCAATTGAATAAACATTATAGTTCAACACAATCAGTTTATTAAGTAAAAATTCATGCTCAAATAGTATCAGATAAACATTTTAATTAAATGATAAACCACTTAGTTCTTCCAATTTAATGAAACTTTCAAATATAATTTCTCCTTCTTTATCTTTACTTATCTATTACTTTAACAATAATACTATAAATACAGTTCTTAGTAAATTTTTGATGAAATGTTTATAGTAAAAGCAAAGTATATTTTTGATTAAAATGGATAATAAATAATTATTAATATACTTGCAAAATTAAAGTATCACAAAATAGAGAATAGTCCAAAATGTATTTTATTATAAATAAGATTATTTATTGACGCAACTAAACAAAGTCTATTAAAAGATTGATTATAAAAGACTAAGATAAAAGAATGCAATATAGAAAAGATAACCGTGAAAAATCAGAGGAAAAGATACTTTTATATGATGTTTTTCGAGAGGTTGGGTACTCATTAACTATAGGCTTCTCAAACTATACCACCAATGCCAATCATTACAAAATTATTGTAATAATAATGAGATGAAATTAATAAAGATCAAACTAGAGAAATCAAAGAACTTCCAGAATCAACAGAAAGAATACTTGATTTATTGTTTCTTAATACTTGTGATTTAAAAAAAGTATTCCAACAATAAAAATACAACAACAAAAGAAAAATAATAGTATAAGGAAGAATCACTCAAGATTTTTTCAACAAATAATTTTGATCACATTTATCAAATATATTTATTATTAATTTAATAAGAATTAATTAATGTTTATTATAAGAATTTTAAATTTAATATCGTTATTGAAAAAAATGAAAAATGTTCATTTGTATCATCAGTAAAATTAAATAATTTAATTCAGGGATAGATTTCTTAATACATAATTTATATTTGGATAGTATGAAGCAAGTATACTTTAATATTAAATGATAAATAATTCAATAGGATAAAATATATTTTTTCATTAATCTAATATTAAGATTTTGGCAATGATTGTTTCTGTAATGACTTGATTATAAACAACGTGTATTATTTCAAGTGATGATGATTGAATACTTATTTTTAAATGATTATATTATTAAGACGATTATTAAAATAAAGGATAGAACCCTACATAATTCATTTAATTAAAGCAATTATAATTAAAAGAGTTAGTCTTTTAAATACTACAAGAATTACATTTAAGAAAATTTGCTTGAATCTTCTTATTATTTTCACATTTAACTTATATACCCATCTTTAATGGTGTATGTAGTTTATTTACTGAATAATCATAATTTCCATTTGCAGAGAATATTTGATTGGATTAAACAAATTCTAAATTAAATGTAGGTAATATATTTAAATCTTTAACTTATTTTCTACTTGTTCTTATACTAAAACATTCTAAAGTTGTGAATATAGTTGTAAATTAATATAAAATCCAAATTTAAGAATGACTGTTTGGAGTTTCAATAGAGTACCCTATTATTAATATTGACTTTAAATATTACATGTGCCCCAAGTATATGAAATTGTTGTGGCAGTGTTGGTAAATGATGCCTATATCCTTATATTGTCGCTATTCGGATAATTAAACCCAACTACCGCAAGAGCAAACCATCTATTTGGTTATATTGCAAGTGTTCCACTACTAAAAGCACCTGTAACTGTCTTCAATCCTAAATTAATAAAAGCTTCTTCAATTCCAACAACAACAAAATATCCAATTTATTTTATATTTGTAAATTTTCCTGCCACTTTGGTAATACTTACAGTTACTGAATTAATTGTTATCGAACTTATCTGAGTTTATACTATTAATTATTACAGATAATAGGAAATCAACTGATCCTGTATAATATATACTTGTGAGTACCACAAATCCGGTTTAAGCATTAGGATTTTTAATAGGAAATGTTTTATCGTCTGGATTTTGCATATTGAAATTATTTATAACTTCAATACGTTTATCATCTATTGCAAACCATCTTAATTTTACGGAATATACTCTTTTTTTACTACAAATAATAATTGCTTGAAATGCTATAAAGAATAGTTATTTATTTAATACATGTTTTTGTTATAGTTGTAATCGACAATTTAAACTCCATTTCAGGCCTTTCTTAATCAAAGTATTCATGAACAAAAAATACTTAAGGAATATTCGCAAATGAATTAGAAAATGAAATTGTGGCTGTTCTTGAATAACCATTTTCGCAAACGAAACTTGAATCATACGTCCTATCAAAATTCCTCGCCAATCCAGTATCATATTATATGAAAGGGAATATTTCTTTCACACTTATCAATAAAATTAAGATTGTTTTCATTTTATTTTAGATTATATTTATAGATTTATTATTCATTACCCATAATTATAAAATGATCTTTATATAATCCATTTAATTCAAAAAATTAAGCTATTTAATCATCCAGTTTCATTAAGTATAGATAAATAAATAAAAATATTTGTTTAAATTTTTTTTATGTTCAATTATTTTTGACTTATTCAACGTTTTTAATAGTAACTTTGATGATAAGGTAGAAAAAATACGCATTTATTTATTAATAAAGAATGTATCTAAAAAATAGTGAAAGAATCAAAAAATATCTATATATCTTGAACCTAGTATTATATAAATCTTGCTTTCAGTTTTTATGAGTGAATTGTAAGAGTGTTTATTTTTAGAAATAACCAGTTGGAAAATAATTTTTTAATCATTTTTATTGCAATAGATACCACTTTAATTTTACATTTCAAATTTTGAATCATATTAAAATAATACTGGAACCAGTTTTCATCTAAATTAATTTATCATTCAATCTTTTTTTTAATATAGTTTTTATTAATTATAAAAAACTTACAGCAAATTTGAATTTTCTACAAAGATAGTCTTTATTAATATGCAATACTATTCAAAATATTCTTTGTTTATTTTCAAACTCGATTTATATTTTATAAATAGAATGAAGAGAGTTTAAAGAATATAATAAGATACCAAGTTCTAGTTAATTAAAAGATAGAAGCCTTAAATAATTTATATATCAGAACAAGAAATTAAAGTATGTTTCCATTAAATTAAATTTATATTGATTTTTAATTTAACCAATTAACAACTGAGTTTGATAGGAAGAAATTTAAGTAAATTTATACTCATTTTTTTTCTGATTTTTATTTTTTAAATAGAAATAATTTTCAATCAGGATGTTTAAATAATCCATATAAATCGCCCTGAATAGAATGAGTAACATTATTAATTTATTCTGATAATCTATTTAAAGAATAAACAAAAAAATTACATTTATTTTTTTAAAAACTTCAATTCCCATTTAGATCATCATTTTATTCTGATTTATTATACCACCATATAAACCATTCATAATATAGACCATTGTTATTTAATTTCACCCTTATTTTGATATTTAGTATTCATAAAACCTATAATATAACTATTTATTATTATGGGTTTGCCCACCAGTATGTTTCTTTGAGCAGTCACATAATGTTGAATTCTCTGTTGAACTAATTTATTTATTTTGGGGTTGGG